TGTGCACATATTCGGCCACAGAAGGAATGTATATGTGTGTCCTTTTTTTTTTGTAAATATTTCTAATATGTGGTCCGGTGCACTATCAGCGTTTGATGTGCACATATTCGGTCACAAAAGAATGTATATGTATGCACTTTTTTTTGTAAATATTTCTAATATGTGGTCCCGGTGCACTATCAGCGTTTGATGTGCACATATTCGGTCACAAAAGAATGTATATGTATGCACTTTTTTTTGTAAATATATGTGGTCCCGGTGCACTATCAGCGTTTGATGTGCACATATTCGGTCACAAAAGAATGTATATGTATGCACTTTTTTTGTAAATATTTCTAATATGTGGTCCCGGTGCACTATCAGCGTTTGATGTGCACATATTCGGTCACAAAAGAATGTATATGTATGCATTTTTTTTTGTTTTAATTTGAGTAAATCTTTCGACTACGTGGTCCCGGTGCAATATCAGCGTTTGATGTGCACATTTTCGGTCACGCATCTTATATTGTATATGAGTATTAGTGTTGGATCTGTCACTTTTTTTCCAAAAATGCGAGCCCGGTGCCTTATCGGAGTTCGATGTGCACATATTCGGTCGCAACTTGGGCAAACACCAGCACTTGTACACTTTCACGGATTGGTTTATATCAAAAATATGCATTATTATTATTTGTGTTTAATTTATTTAGTTTTTTTTTTTTCATTGTATTTTTGTTTGCAAATATATATTTTATATATCTATTTTTTATTAACTTGTTTGTTGTTGTGTTTTTTTTGTTATTCGTCACTCCATTTCTTCTTTTTCCTTTATTTAGCAACCATTCGTTCACTCACCTGTCTTACAGATATATTATGATGAGGAGTCGGAGCATTTTAGAATCTCCAGGTCCGATGCCGGCTGCGCCAATTACAGTTCGAAGGTGAACTTTGTCCGGTGAAATGAGTTGCAGTAGCTATGTAATTACAGTTCTAGAGTGATTTTCCGTTTAAAGATTGACAACCTCCTTCTTTTCTGGTCAGAATTATAATGATCGTTTATTGTTTTACAAGCTAAGAAGCGACTTATGGAATAAAATGGAATACAATCGGAAAATGAAATGGAATGGAATGAGAATGAGATCTGCTAAATCGGCAGATCTCGCGTGGTTGACGAACCGCTGGGTAAGCGGTTGGCTCCGCTTCCGCTGGTGTCCGAACTCAGCGTTTTTGTATACAGTGAATGGGTTAATGCCCATTCAACTGTGTCGCTGAGGTTTGGGGGGCGGCGGTGTGGCCGCAGCAATGTGTGCGGCCCGATGCCTCGTAGCGGTACGCGGCCACGCACAGCGACACGAGCGTAAGGTAGAAGAGCCAGCAGAGGATCTGGCGCCGGCGGTCCAGCAAATGGTGCAGCACCTCCAGCTTGAGGTAGGCCATCAGTTGCGGCGGCGGTACCAACGTTGCACTGACAGCGCCTCCGCCGCCGCCCCCGCCGACATTTCGCTGTCGCCAGTTGCGCTGATGAAAGTACTGGAACAGCACGTAACTGTCGAAGGACAGGGGTCGCACCTCGCGGTGGGCCTCGGCCAGGCGACGCAGCTGGCGCACGGCACTGCTGTAGCGCTGCAGCAGTTGCTGGCGGCTCAGTTGCACGAAATTCAGATCGATATCGATGTCGTAGTCATCCATGGCCTTCCTTCTCCGCCGGCTCTCGTCCGTCTCTGCATCCGTTGCCGTTGCTGTTGCTGTTGCCGTCTTTGTCTTCGTTTTCCTCGGCTGCGGGGGATTGTCGTTCGCCCTGGCACTCGCGGTCTCTATCTCTGCTTGCATATATACGAGTTATCTAAATTTGGTTGTCTTTGAATTTGTTATAATTTATTGCTTTGCTTTTGTTGTTCCTATTCTATTGTTTTTGTTAACGAATTTTTGAGTGGCGTGAGATTTTATTTACATTCACACACTGCGCCGTTTGGCCGCCAGGTGGCGCTGATTCTGTTGTCGAATACATAGGCGTGAAAGGCGAGCGGGGAGTTTTGTTTCTGTTTTCAACCCCGTATTTGGAATATGTTCGAATTTGCTTCTGCATAGACTTTTGAAGTTTTATAACCATAAAATAGCCTTTTCGTTCCGTTGGGTTGCTGATTTCACGCGTAAAGACGTAATAAAAGTACAAATTCCTCCCCACTACAATAGAAATACAATACACTAGCGCGTTTACTGCAGTTGCAGCTAGTGGTGGAAGTGCATATTTTGTGCTCACGGTCACACTTAACGAGGTCTTTAACTGCAGCGCAGTCAAAAGAAAAACGCCACCCTGTTCCCTGTTCTTTTCAATTACTACTCCATTAAACACGTTTCGTTTCTCTTTCCACCTAGGCTACCAACAGGAAAGTACATATTTTAAAATTTTAGTCGGCCATCGACACAGTTGCCATCCAATCGATAGTTGCTGTCAACACACACTGAGCTATCGCTAATATCGATTGTACTATTTCTGGATCGTAAATTTTATTTGGAATTACTGTGTGCTGTGCAAAAAAAAATGCCTGCGCGACTAAATTACCAGATCATTGCCACGCCTGGCCGAAGGAGCGAATCAAAAAGCAGAAACTGACCGTTGCGTTTCAGCAGCTGCTTGCGGGAGAACAGAACACAGTTTGGTGGAACCTCGTTAAGTGCTGGAACCTCGCTGAGTGCTGGAACCTCGCTGAGTGCTGGAACCTCGTTGAGTGCTGGAACCTCGTTGAGTGCTGGAACCTCGCTGAGAGTCGCCACGGCGGCAGGAAACTCGCCGAGAGTCTCCATGGACACAGGAGGCTCGCCGAGAAGCTCCATGGACACTGGTGGCTCGCCGAGAAGCTCCGTGCCAGGAAAAAGTGTAAGTGTGTGTGTGTGTGTGTTCGCGTCGCTGTTGCTGCGACACACCGCTGCAGCGCGCTGCCTCTCGCTTCGCACTACCTTTCCTTTCCCATCACGTGGCGTGTCGACCAAGCGGGGCCTCGACAGGAGACTATTCAAGTTTTGTGTCTCGACATACATACACACTAACACACGCACACACTCATACCACACTACCACACAAAGAACTCTCCCGTACATACAAACATACGGACAATTTTGTTGGTTTTTTTTTTTTTTGTTTTTTTGTTTATTTGCTTTGCTGTTGTTCGCATTGCTTTTGTTCGAACACCCACCCATACATACATACATATGTATATACATACATACATACATATGTATATACATACATACATACATATGTATATACATACATACATACATACAGATCTGTGTACGGTGTATTTCTCTACATTTTGTCGGAATGTGCTGGGGGTAGGTGTGAGTAGGAGGGGGAGGAGCAGGTGGTGGTTGATGGCGCTACTACCATTAATTCCTAACCTAACAATCATTGGCCTAAGCCGATGCCCATTAGGCCTCAATTATGTGGTAACTAATTATTGTGAGCTTTAAACTTATGCATACACATACCTACATACATATTTGTCATATATGTACATATGGTATAGTGACTCGATCTTATGTAGCTTTATAACTGAAGGATTTTTTTGCATAAAAAACGCATGCATTTTTATTATTTACAGTTTTGGGGGTGGGGGTGCAAACCTATTAAATATTTGTATGTAGTGACAAAAAAAAACAATTTTTTACGCTTTAAAACCAAGGGGTTAGATAAGGGGGCGGGGTAATTGAATTATAGAAGGTAATCGATACAATGAAAATCGAATCTATCCACATTATATGCTATCCAAATGTCTCCCACATATGTACATATGTACATTATTGCATGTCCAGTAGATATAAATAAATATATATTTATTAATTGAACGTATTACGAACAGAGCAACGCAATACCTGGAATGTGCATTAATTAGTTGCTATTCAAGACTTTACAGTTCTCTTAAGCCCCCCATATAGACAGCAGGCCATTAGCAATACTTTTCTTGGTAGAAGAAAATGTTTGGCAGTTGAAATCATTTCATATGTGTATTTAAAAACTGGCGCCAAGCTAACTTATGTTGATACTTAGGGATGGTCAGCGATAGCTATTTTACATTCCGTGCGATAGGTGCTGTTAAGCGCAAAAGCTGCTGTTAAGCCAAAAGTAAGTGTTGGGCGCGTCGTTTTAACTTGAATTAAGTTGAAGGCTACTACCATTTACTACCTGAAATGTGATCGTGCTGTTTTTAAAATTTACTCTTCTTTTCATTCTAGTCTCTACATATGTTTTGTGCATTATCCGAGAGCGAGCGTGTGTATTAAAAAATCGCGTGTCTTGTGTTTGTGTGTGTGAAACAGCAGTTAGCATGATAACAAGGTTGTGTGCGTTTGCGAATAAAAATGGACTCGCCGCCCCGCTGATAAATGTGATGACTATCGATGTTAGGCACAAAATCGGCACCAGCATGGAAGAAGCGACTACTCCAGCGGATCAGCGAAATGTGGAGATAAAGGCACGGATTCCTGGCGGCAGCGAGGACTTTGTACGCCGCCTGGACATCGCCAAGCGGCTGACGGGCAGCCAGGCGGGGGAGCTCATCGTCCAGCGCGATGTCTTCTTCGAATCGCCGCTGGGCGGGCGTCTCAAGCTGCGCTACTTGCAGGCTCCGGCGCTACTTGCAGGCTCCGGCGCGCTCCCAGCTGGTAGACTACAATCGTCCGGATGTGGCTGGCCCCAAGCTCTCCTGCTTCAACAAGATCGAGGTGGACGAGCCGGCTGTGCTGGAGAAGATTCTGGCCCAGACGAACGGCATCCAGGGCCAGTTGGCCAAAAAGCGGCATTTGTTCATACACGAGCAGACGCGCATCCACCTGGACGAGGTGCAGGACCTCGGCCACTTCATGGAGTTCGAGGTCTGCCTGCGACCGGAGCAGACCCTCGAGGAGGGCCAGACCATTGCCGAGCAGCTGGCAGCGACTTTCGGAATTCAGAAGGCGGACCTCATGACCGGCTCCTACTTCGATGCCCTGCGCAGCGGTCAGTGAATGCTTCGGCCATTTAATTAAATTGTTATAAGGTTCATTTATTCAGTGATTCCTTGTTGAAAAAACACACAAAGTAAAACTCAGGTCTGGCCACGGATATTTACAAAAGAACGAACCTGTTTTTCCTATTTTTTTCCTGTTTTCCATCTCTGCAATCCGATTAGGGATCGATTTGGACTGGTTTAGACTGAGGTTAAACCGAGCATAAATGCAAAATGGTTAAAAAGACGAAGACGAACATAGGACAGAAACGGGTGGGACAAGAGCATGCTGACTAAGGCTAAGGCTTCTTATAAACTAGGACGATGAGGATTACGCAGGACGATCGATGTACACGACGCACACACACACACACACACACAGTCGATGTGGCCACGGAAGGAAACATCCCGCGATGTGCTGGCCATTTGGAATGATCGCCACACACAGCTCCCTCTGTGACCCTTCCATCTTCTTGCAGTTGGTTGGCTTTGATTCTGGGATTCATGCAGCCATGCAGCCATGCCAGTCATGGCGTTCCCATGTTCGTTGACTAATTTTGCATCGTGGATACATATGTATGTATATGCGCGTGGATATATGTATGTATGTATTATGCATTTAAATGTGTATGGCGCTGGGATGTGGAGCAGCACCCCTCTAGCAGTAGGAACCGATCAGGCTGATGGAGAGGGACTCGGATATGGGATCCGGGGCCGAGATCGGCTTCCAATACAGCCAGTTGTAGCTGACTGAAAGAGAGAGCGAGAGAGAAAGAGCCGATGCACAAACAAGAGCGAGCAAAGAGATAGAGAATAATACTTACGGACAAAGGACTGCGTGAGACGAATGGAGAGGGTGCGGCAGCGGTGCCGACACTCGCTGGTGGGCCGCAGGATGATGAAGCGAGTGCCCACCGCCTGCGCCGGTGGACATACACACTTGGGGGCACTCGGTCTCCGGCAGCGTATAGGCCGGCGCCTGGGACGTGTCGATGGCCATGTAGCGCTCCAGGGCGACGCCCAGGCTGGGAAGGCGGGACGGCCGGGCAAAGATGGGGCGCAGCAGGCGAGCGGGAAGCATGCGATTGCAGCGCCACAGATTGTGCGCCTGCTGTGTCCAGGTAGGTGGATCGGCTTTTGTGTTCATGTCGCTGCTGCCACTGCCACTGTTGCTGCTGTTGAACTGGCCGAAGAGATCCTCGAGATTGTGGACACCCTGGTTGGTGGAGTGCACCCGGTAAGCATCGCGCTGGAAGATCACGTGGTTGCTGGCATAGATGTTGTAGAAGTCGCTCAGATCCATGGCATCCTGCTGGCTCTTGAACGCAAACGGCACACTGTCCCCCTCGGCCATCGTCTGGCGGCACTTCTGGAGCAGGGACAAGCCGTTGTCACTGTCTCTGTCGCTGCCGCTGACACTGCCACTGACGGTGGCATGCAGCTGGGCGCACTCATCGCTCTCAAACCAGACGCTCTCCACATTGGCGCAGGGGCCGCAGCTGAGGTCCTCCATCTGGAAAAAGGGATTGCCCATCAGACAGGACTCGTCGTAGAGCTCGGTGAGCCGAGGAAAGCGCTGGATCAGCGGCATGGTCATGCGCCGCCACATCCGCATCCCGGGATACACCGTCGACTGGACAACGCGCTCGCTGCCACCGCCCGATGCCTCGTAGCGGTACGCGGCCACGCACAGCGACACGAGCGTAAGGTAGAAGAGCCAGCAGAGGATCTGGCGCCGGCGGTCCAGCAAATGGTGCAGCACCTCCAGCTTGAGGTAGGCCATCAGTTGCGGCGGCGGTACCAACGTTGCACTGACAGCGCCTCCGCCGCCGCCCCCGCCGACATTTCGCTGTCGCCAGTTGCGCTGATGAAAGTACTGGAACAGCACGTAACTGTCGAAGGACAGGGGTCGCACCTCGCGGTGGGCCTCGGCCAGGCGACGCAGCTGGCGCACGGCACTGCTGTAGCGCTGCAGCAGTTGCTGGCGGCTCAGTTGCACGAAATTCAGATCGATATCGATGTCGTAGTCATCCATGGCCTTCCTTCTCCGCCGGCTCTCGTCCGTCTCTGCATCCGTTGCCGTTGCTGTTGCTGTTGCCGTCTTTGTCTTCGTTTTCCTCGGCTGCGGGGGATTGTCGTTCGCCCTGGCACTCGCGGTCTCTATCTCTGCTTGCATATATCGAGTTATCTAAATTTGGTTGTCTTTGAATTTGTTATAATTTATTGCTTTGCTTTTGTTGTTCCTATTCTATTGTTTTTGTTAACGAATTTTTGAGTGGCGTGAGATTTTATTTACATTCACACACTGCGCCGTTTGGCCGCCAGGTGGCGCTGATTCTGTTGTCGAATACATAGGCGTGAAAGGCGAGCGGGGAGTTTTGTTTCTGTTTTCAACCCCGTATTTGGAATATGTTCGAATTTGCTTCTGCATAGACTTTTGAAGTTTTATAACCATAAAATAGCCTTTTCGTTCCGTTGGGTTGCTGATTTCACGCGTAAAGACGTAATAAAAGTACAAATTCCTCCCCACTACAATAGAAATACAATACACTAGCGCGTTTACTGCAGTTGCAGCTAGTGGTGGAAGTGCATATTTTGTGCTCACGGTCACACTTAACGAGGTCTTTAACTGCAGCGCAGTCAAAAGAAAAACGCCACCCTGTTCCCTGTTCTTTTCAATTACTACTCCATTAAACACGTTTCGTTTCTCTTTCCACCTAGGCTACCAACAGGAAAGTACATATTTTAAAATTTTAGTCGGCCATCGACACAGTTGCCATCCAATCGATAGTTGCTGTCAACACACACTGAGCTATCGCTAATATCGATTGTACTATTTCTGGATCGTAAATTTTATTTGGAATTACTGTGTGCTGTGCAAAACAAAATGCCTGCGCGACTAAATTACCAGATCATTGCCACGCCTGGCCGAAGGAGCGAATCAAAAAGCAGAAACTGACCGTTGCGTTTCAGCAGCTGCTTGCGGGAGAACAGAACACAGTTTGGTGGAACCTCGTTAAGTGCTGGAACCTCGCTGAGTGCTGGAACCTCGCTGAGTGCTGGAACCTCGCTGAGTGCTGGAACCTCGCTGAGTGCTGGAACCTCGTTGAGTGCTGGAACCTCGTTGAGTGCTGGAACCTCGCTGAGAGTCGCCACGGCGGCAGGAAACTCGCCGAGAGTCTCCATGGACACAGGAGGCTCGCCGAGAAGCTCCATGGACACTGGTGGCTCGCCGAGAAGCTCCGTGCCAGGAAAAAGTGTAAGTGTGTTTGTGTGTGTGTTCGCGTCGCTGTTGCTGCGACACACCGCTGCAGCGCGCTGCCTCTCGCTTCGCAGTACCTTTCCTTTCCCATCACGTGGCGTGTCGACCAAGCGGGGCCTCGACAGGAGACTATTCAAGTTTTGTGTCTCGACATACATACACACTAACACACGCACACACTCATACCACACTACCACACAAAGAACTCTCCCGTACATACAAACATACGGACAATTTTGTTGGTTTTTTTTTTTTTGTTTTTTTGTTTATTTGCTTTGCTGTTGTTCGCATTGCTTTTGTTCGAACACCCACCCATACATACATACATATGTATATACATACATACAGATCTGTGTACGGTGTATTTCTCTACATTTTGTCGGAATGTGCTGGGGGTAGGTGTGAGTAGGAGGGGGAGGAGCAGGTGGTGGTTGATGGCGCTACTACCATTAATTCCTAACCTAACAATCATTGGCCTAAGCCGATGCCCATTAGGCCTCAATTATGTGGTAACTAATTATTGTGAGCTTTAAACTTATGCATACACATACCTACATACATATTTGTCATATATGTACATATGGTATAGTGACTCGATCTTATGTAGCTTTATAACTGAAGGATTTTTTTGCATAAAAAACGCATGCATTTTTATTATTTACAGTTTTGGGGGTGGGGGTGCAAACCTATTAAATATTTATATGTAGTGACAAAAAAAAACAATTTTTTACGCTTTAAAACCAAGGGGTTAGATAAGGGGGCGGGGTAATTGAATTATAGAAGGTAATCGATACAATGAAAATCGAATCTATCCACATTATATGCTATCCAAATGTCTCCCACATATGTACATATGTACATTATTGCATGTCCAGTAGATATAAATAAATATATATTTATTAATTGAACGTATTACGAACAGAGCAACGCAATACCTGGAATGTGCATTAATTAGTTGCTATTCAAGACTTTACAGTTCTCTTAAGCCCCCCATATAGACAGCAGGCCATTAGCAATACTTTTCTTGGTAGAAGAAAATGTTTGGCAGTTGAAATCATTTCATATGTGTATTTAAAAACTGGCGCCAAGCTAACTTATGTTGATACTTAGGGATGGTCAGCGATAGCTATTTTACATTCCGTGCGATAGGTGCTGTTAAGCGCAAAAGCTGCTGTTAAGCCAAAAGTAAGTGTTGGGCGCGTCGTTTTAACTTGAATTAAGTTGAAGGCTACTACCATTTACTACCTGAAATGTGATCGTGCTGTTTTTAAAATTTACTCTTCTTTTCATTCTAGTCTCTACATATGTTTTGTGCATTATCCGAGAGCGAGCGTGTGTATTAAAAAATCGCGTGTCTTGTGTTTGTGTGTGTGAAACAGCAGTTAGCATGATAACAAGGTTGTGTGCGTTTGCGAATAAAAATGGACTCGCCGCCCCGCTGATAAATGTGATGACTATCGATGTTAGGCACAAAATCGGCACCAGCATGGAAGAAGCGACTACTCCAGCGGATCAGCGAAATGTGGAGATAAAGGCACGGATTCCTGGCGGCAGCGAGGACTTTGTACGCCGCCTGGACATCGCCAAGCGGCTGACGGGCAGCCAGGCGGGGGAGCTCATCGTCCAGCGCGATGTCTTCTTCGAATCGCCGCTGGGCGGGCGTCTCAAGCTGCGCTACTTGCAGGCTCCGGCGCGCTCCCAGCTGGTATACTACAATCGTCCGGATGTGGCTGGCCCCAAGCTCTCCTGCTTCAACAAGATCGAGGTGGACGAGCCGGCTGTGCTGGAGAAGATTCTGGCCCAGACGAACGGCATCCAGGGCCAGTTGGCCAAAAAGCGGCATTTGTTCATACACGAGCAGACGCGCATCCACCTGGACGAGGTGCAGGACCTCGGCCACTTCATGGAGTTCGAGGTCTGCCTGCGACCGGAGCAGACCCTCGAGGAGGGCCAGACCATTGCCGAGCAGCTGGCAGCGACTTTCGGAATTCAGAAGGCGGACCTCATGACCGGCTCCTACTTCGATGCCCTGCGCAGCGGTCAGTGAATGCTTCGGCCATTTAATTAAATTGTTATAAGGTTCATTTATTCAGTGATTCCTTGTTGAAAAAACACACAAAGTAAAACTCAGGTCTGGCCACGGATATTTACAAAAGAACGAACCTGTTTTTCCTATTTTTTCCTGTTTTCCATCTCTGCAATCCGATTAGGGATCGATTTGGACTGGTTTAGACTGAGGTTAAACCGAGCATAAATGCAAAATGGTTAAAAAGACGAAGACGAACATAGGACAGAAACGGGTGGGACAAGAGCATGCTGACTAAGGCTAAGGCTTCTTATAAACTAGGACGATGAGGATTACGCAGGACGATCGATGTACACGACGACACACACACACACACACACACAGTCGATGTGGCCACGGAAGGAAACATCCCGCGATGTGCTGGCCATTTGGAATGATCGCCACACACAGCTCCCTCTGTGACCCTTCCATCTTCTTGCAGTTGGTTGGCTTTGATTCTGGGATTCATGCAGCCATGCCAGTCATGGCGTTCCCATGTTCGTTGACTAATTTTGCATCGTGGATACATATGTATGTATATGCGCGTGGATATATGTATGTATGTATTATGCATTTAAATGTGTATGGCGCTGGGATGTGGAGCAGCACCCCTCTAGCAGTAGGAACCGATCAGGCGAGTGGATCGGCTTTTGTGTTCATGTCGCTGCTGCCACTGCCACTGTTGCTGCTGTTGAACTGGCCGAAGAGATCCTCGAGATTGTGGACACCCTGGTTGGTGGAGTGCACCCGGTAAGCATCGCGCTGGAAGATCACGTGGTTGCTGGCATAGATGTTGTAGAAGTCGCTCAGATCCATGGCATCCTGCTGGCTCTTGAACGCAAACGGCACACTGTCCCCCTCGGCCATCGTCTGGCGGCACTTCTGGAGCAGGGACAAGCCGTTGTCACTGTCTCTGTCGCTGCCGCTGACACTGCCACTGACGGTGGCATGCAGCTGGGCGCACTCATCGCTCTCAAACCAGACGCTCTCCACATTGGCGCAGGGGCCGCAGCTGAGGTCCTCCATCTGGAAAAAGGGATTGCCCATCAGACAGGACTCGTCGTAGAGCTCGGTGAGCCGAGGAAAGCGCTGGATCAGCGGCATGGTCATGCGCCGCCACATCCGCATCCCGGGATACACCGTCGACTGGACAACGCGCTCGCTGCCACCGCCCGATGCCTCGTAGCGGTACGCGGCCACGCACAGCGACACGAGCGTAAGGTAGAAGAGCCAGCAGAGGATCTGGCGCCGGCGGTCCAGCAAATGGTGCAGCACCTCCAGCTTGAGGTAGGCCATCAGTTGCGGCGGCGGTACCAACGTTGCACTGACAGCGCCTCCGCCGCCGCCCCCGCCGACATTTCGCTGTCGCCAGTTGCGCTGATGAAAGTACTGGAACAGCACGTAACTGTCGAAGGACAGGGGTCGCACCTCGCGGTGGGCCTCGGCCAGGCGACGCAGCTGGCGCACGGCACTGCTGTAGCGCTGCAGCAGTTGCTGGCGGCTCAGTTGCACGAAATTCAGATCGATATCGATGTCGTAGTCATCCATGGCCTTCCTTCTCCGCCGGCTCTCGTCCGTCTCTGCATCCGTTGCCGTTGCTGTTGCTGTTGCCGTCTTTGTCTTCGTTTTCCTCGGCTGCGGGGGATTGTCGTTCGCCCTGGCACTCGCGGTCTCTATCTCTGCTTGCATATATACGAGTTATCTAAATTTGGTTGTCTTTGAATTTGTTATAATTTATTGCTTTGCTTTTGTTGTTCCTATTCTATTGTTTTTGTTAACGAATTTTTGAGTGGCGTGAGATTTTATTTACATTCACACACTGCGCCGTTTGGCCGCCAGTGGCGCTGATTCTGTTGTCGAATACATAGGCGTGAAAGGCGAGCGGGGAGTTTTGTTTCTGTTTTCAACCCCGTATTTGGAATATGTTCGAATTTGCTTCTGCATAGACTTTTGAAGTTTTATAACCATAAAATAGCCTTTTCGTTCCGTTGGGTTGCTGATTTCACGCGTAAAGACGTAATAAAAGTACAAATTCCTCCCCACTACAATAGAAATACAATACACTAGCGCGTTTACTGCAGTTGCAGCTAGTGGTGGAAGTGCATATTTTGTGCTCACGGTCACACTTAACGAGGTCTTTAACTGCAGCGCAGTCAAAAGAAAAACGCCACCCTGTTCCCTGTTCTTTTCAATTACTACTCCATTAAACACGTTTCGTTTCTCTTTCCACCTAGGCTACCAACAGGAAAGTACATATTTTAAAATTTTAGTCGGCCATCGACACAGTTGCCATCCAATCGATAGTTGCTGTCAACACACACTGAGCTATCGCTAATATCGATTGTACTATTTCTGGATCGTAAATTTTATTTGGAATTACTGTGTGCTGTGCAAAACAAAATGCCTGCGCGACTAAATTACCAGATCATTGCCACGCCTGGCCGAAGGAGCGAATCAAAAAGCAGAAACTGACCGTTGCGTTTCAGCAGCTGCTTGCGGGAGAACAGAACACAGTTTGGTGGAACCTCGTTAAGTGCTGGAACCTCGCTGAGTGCTGGAACCTCGCTGAGTGCTGGAACCTCGCTGAGTGCTGGAACCTCGCTGAGTGCTGGAACCTCGTTGAGTGCTGGAACCTCGTTGAGTGCTGGAACCTCGCTGAGAGTCGCCACGGCGGCAGGAAACTCGCCGAGAGTCTCCATGGACACAGGAGGCTCGCCGAGAAGCTCCATGGACACTGGTGGCTCGCCGAGAAGCTCCGTGCCAGGAAAAAGTGTAAGTGTGTTTGTGTGTGTGTTCGCGTCGCTGTTGCTGCGACACACCGCTGCAGCGCGCTGCCTCTCGCTTCGCAGTACCTTTCCTTTCCCATCACGTGGCGTGTCGACCAAGCGGGGCCTCGACAGGAGACTATTCAAGTTTTGTGTCTCGACATACATACACACTAACACACGCACACACTCATACCACACTACCACACAAAGAACTCTCCCGTACATACAAACATACGGACAATTTTGTTGGTTTTTTTTTTTTTTTTTTTGTTTATTTGCTTTGCTGTTGTTCGCATTGCTTTTGTTCGAACACCCACCCATACATACATACATATGTATATACATACATACAGATCTGTGTACGGTGTATTTCTCTACATTTTGTCGGAATGTGCTGGGGGTTGGTGTGAGTAGGAGGGGGAGGAACAGGTGGTGGTTGATGGCGCTACTACCATTAATTCCTAACCTAACAATCATTGGCCTAAGCCGATGCCCATTAGGCCTCAATTATGTGGTAACTAATTATTGTGAGCTTTAAACTTATGCATACACATACATACATATTTGTCATATATGTACATATGGTATAGTGACTCGATCTTATGTAGCTTTATAACTGAAGGATTTTTTTGCATAAAAAACGCATGCATTTTTATTATTTACAGTTTTGGGGGTGGGGGTGCAAACCAATTAAATATTTGTATGTAGTGACCAGAAAAAAACAACAATTTTTTACGCTTTAAAACCAAGGGGTTAGATAAGGGGGCGGGGTAATTGGATTATAGAAGGTAATCAATACGATGAAAATCGAATCTATCCACATTATATGCTATCCAAATGTCTCCCACATATGTACATATGTACATTATTGCATGTCCAGTAGATATAAATAAATATATATTTACGCAATACCTGGAATGTGCATTAATTAGTTGATATTCAAGACTTTACAGTTCTCTTAAGCCCCCCCTCATATAGACAGCAGGCCATTAGCAATACTTTTCTTGGTAGAAGAAAATGTTTGGCAGTTGAAATCATTTCATATGTGTATTTAAAAACTGGCGCCAAGCTAACTTATGTTGATACTTAGGGATGGTCAGCGATAGCTATTTTACATTCCGTGCGATAGGTGCTGTTAAGCGCAAAAGCTGCTGTTAAGCCAAAAGTAAGTGTTGGGCGCGTCGTTTTAACTTGAATTAAGTTGAAGGCTACTACCATTTACTACCTGAAATGTGATCGTGCTGTTTTTAAAATTTACTCTTCTTTTCATTCTAGTCTCTACATATGTTTTGTGCATTATCCGAGAGCGAGCGTGTACATAGAAAATCGCGTGTTTTGTGTTTGTGTGTGTGAAACAGCAGTTAGCATGATAACAAGGTTGTGTGCGTTTGCGAATAAAAATGGACTCGCCGCCCCGCTGATAAATGTGATGACTATCGATGTTAGGCACAAAATCGGCACCAGCATGGAAGAAGCGACTACTCCAGCGGATCAGCGAAATGTGGAGATAAAGGCACGGATTCCTGGCGGCAGCGAGGACTTTGTACGCCGCCTGGACATCGCCAAGCGGCTGACGGGCAGCCAGGCGGGGGAGCTCATCGTCCAGCGCGATGTCTTCTTCGAATCGCCGCTGGGCGGGCGTCTCAAGCTGCGCTACTTGCAGGCTCCGGCGCGCTCCCAGCTGGTATACTACAATCGTCCGGATGTGGCTGGCCCCAAGCTCTCCTGCTTCAACAAGATCGAGGTGGACGAGCCGGCTGTGCTGGAGAAGATTCTGGCCCAGACGAACGGCATCCAGGGCCAGTTGGCCAAAAAGCGGCATTTGTTCATACACGAGCAGACGCGCATCCACCTGGACGAGGTGCAGGACCTCGGCCACTTCATGGAGTTCGAGGTCTGCCTGCGACCGGAGCAGACCCTCGAGGAGGGCCAGACCATTGCCGAGCAGCTGGCAGCGACTTTCGGAATTCAGAAGGCGGACCTCATGACCGGCTCCTACTTCGATGCCCTGCGCAGCGGTCAGTGAATGCTTCGGCCATTTAAATTAAATTGTTATAAGGTTCATTTATTCAGTGATTCCTTGTTGAAAAAACACACAAAGTAAAACTCAGGTCTGGCCACGGATATTTACAAAAGAACGAACCTGTTTTTCCTATTTTTTCCTGTTTTTCCATCTCTGCAATCCGATTAGGGATCGATTTGGACTGGTTTAGACTGAGGTTAAACCGAGCATAAATGCAAAATGGTTAAAAAGACGAAGACGAACATAGGACAGAAACGGGTGGAACAAGAGCATGCTGACTAAGGCTAAGGCTTCTTATAAACTAGGACGATGAGGATTACGCAGGACGATCGATGTACACGACGACACACACACACACACACACACACAGTCGATGTGGCCACGGAAGGAAACATCCCGCGATGTGCTGGCCATTTGGAATGATCGCCACACACAGCTCCCTCTGTGACCCTTCCATCTTCTTGCAGTTGGTTGGCTTTGATTCTGGGATTCATGCAGCCATGCCGGCCATGCCAGTCATGGCGTTCCCATGTTCGTTGACTAATTTTGCATCGTGGATACATATGTATGTATATGCGCGTGGATATATGTATATGTATGTATGTATTATGCATTTAAATGTGTATGGCGCTGGGATGTGGAGCAGCACCCCTCTAGCAGTACCCAACGAGCCGGAGAGAGGGACTCGGAAATGGGAGGACGAGCAGAGATCGGCTCTGGAGGGGGGGGTGGATCGGCTTTTGTGTTCATGTCGCTGCTGCCACTGCCACTGTTGCTGCTGTTGAACTGGCCGAAGAGATCCTCGAGATTGTGGACACCCTGGTTGGTGGAGTGCACCCGGTAAGCATCGCGCTGGAAGATCACGTGGTTGCTGGCATAGATGTTGTAGAAGTCGCTCAGATCCATGGCATCCTGCTGGCTCTTGAACGCAAACGGCACACTGTCCCCCTCGGCTATCGTCTGGCGGCACTTCTGAAGCAGGGACAAGCCGTTGTCACTGTCTCTGTCGCTGTCGCTGCCGCTGACACTGCCACTGACGGTGGCATGCAGCTGGGCGCACTCATCGCTCTCAAACCAGACGCTCTCCACATTGGCGCAGGGGCCGCAGCTGAGGTCCTCCATCTGGAAAAAGGGATTGCCCATCAGACAGGACTCGTCGTAGAGCTCGGTGAGCCGAGGAAAGCGCTGGATCAGCGGCATGGTCATGCGCCGCCACATCCGCATCCCGGGATACACCGTCGACTGGACAACGCGCTCGCTGCCACCGCCCGATGCCTCGTAGCGGTACGCGGCCACGCACAGCGACACGAGCGTAAGGTAGAAGAGCCAGCAGAGGATCTGGCGCCGGCGGTCCAGCAAATGGTGCAGCACCTCCAGCTTGAGGTAGGCCATCAGTTGCGGCGGCGGTACCAACGTTGCACTGACAGCGCCTCCGCCGCCGCCCCCGCCGACATTTCGCTGTCGCCAGTTGCGCTGATGAAAGTACTGGAACAGCACGTAACTGTCGAAGGACAGGGGTCGCACCTCGCGGTGGGCCTCGGCCAGGCGACGCAGCTGGCGCACGGCACTGCTGTAGCGCTGCAGCAGTTGCTGGCGGCTCAGTTGCACGAAATTTAGATCGATATCGATGTCGTAGTCATCCATGGCCTTCCTTCTCCGCCGGCTCTCGTCCGTCTCTGCATCCGTTGCCGTTGCTGTTGCTGTTGCCGTCTTTGTCTTCGTTTTCCTCGGCTGCGGGGATTGTCGTTCGCCCTGGCACTCGCGGTCTCTATCTCTGCTTGCATATATACGAGTTATCTAAATTTGGTTGTCTTTGAATTTGTTATAATTTATTGCTTTGCTTTTGTTGTTCCTATTCTATTGTTTTTGTTAACGAATTTTTGAGTGGCGTGAGATTTTATTTACATTCACACACTGCGCCGTTTGGCCGCCAGGTGGCGCTGATTCTGTTGTCGAATACATAGGCGTGAAAGGCGAGCGGGGAGTTTTGTTTCTTTTTTCAACCCCGTATTTGGAATATGTTCGAATTTGCTTCTGCATAGACTTTTGAAGTTTTATAACCATAAAATAGCCTTTTCGTTCCGTTGGGTTGCTGATTTCACGCGTAAAGACGTAATAAAAGTACAAATTCCTCCCCACTACAATAGAAATACAATACACTAGCGCGTTTACTGCAGTTGCAGCTAGTGGTGGAAGTGCATATTTTGTGCTCACGGTCACACTTAACGAGCTCTTTAACTGCAGCGCAGTCAAAAGAAAAACGCCACCCTGTTCCCTGTTCTTTTCAATTACTACTCCATTAAACACGTTTCGTTTCTCTTTCCACCTAGGCTACCAACAGGAAAGTACATATTTTTAAATTTTAGTCGGCCATCGACACAGTTGCCATCCAATCGATAGTTGCTGTCAACACACACTGAGCTATCGCTAATATCGATTGTACTATTTCTGGATCGTCAATTTTATTTGGAATTACTGTGTGCTGTGCAAAAAAAAAAGCCTGCGCGACTAAATTACCAGATCATTGCCACGCCTGGCCGAAGGAGCGAATCAAAAAGCAGAAACCGACCGTTGCGTTTCAGCAGCTGCTTGCGGGACAACAGAACACAGTTTGGTGGCAAACTAGCAGCGACACACGCACCCATACACACGAGCGTAAAAACAAAGACCCAGCATGCCACGAGGAAAGTTCGTTAACCACAAAGGCCGCAGCCGCCACTTTACATCACCCGAGGAGCTGCAGCAGGAGTCCGAGGAGGAGAGCGACCAGTCGAGCGGCAGCGGTAGCGGCGAGGAGACCGGCGGCGACAAGGCTTCCGGAAGTGCGGCCACATCCAAGCCAAAGCCGCCAGCGGCCCGCAAGACCGCCACCCGTCCAGCCCATCGTCAGAAGCAGCGTCCGGCGGTCAGCTCGTCGGAATCCGACTCGGAGGAGGATTCCGAGGATGACTCAGAGGCAGAGGCGCGAGATGCCAAAAAGGGCGTGGCCTCACTCATCGAAATCGAGAATCCCAACCGTGTGACCAAAAAGGCCACCCAGAAAATCGCAACCCTTAAGCTGGACGATGGTGGGCCCTCCACCACCACCTCCACCGCCTCCGCCAAGCCGGAGCTGTCCCGTCGCGAGCGTGAACAGATCGAGAAGCAGAAGGCGCGCCAGCGTTATGAGAAGCTCCATGCGGCCGGCAAGACGACCGAGGCGAAGGCAGATCTCGCCCGGCTGGCTCTCATTCGTCAGCAGCGAGAGGAGGCCGCCGCCAAGCGCGAGGCGGACAAAAAGGTGGCAGCCGACACCGGAAAGAAGCCGGGGGCTAAGTAGGATCATTCCCGGATCCCCAGCCCGCGATACCTTAACCCGTCAACTGATTCAGTAACAGAACCAATGGAAGGGCTAATGGCAATTAGTTAAGGAAATGTAAAGTAACAAATTTATCAGGAAACGTTACCCGCAAGAGGATGAGGCTCGCTACGCACTACACCGCACCGCACCGCACCGACCACCAACCACCAACCAAACCGAAACCCAATCCTAATCCCAAACCCAAACCGATCTGTTGCATCTGCCACAAGTGCCGAGTATCCCGTGAGAAACGCCCAAGAACTAAATTTCGATCTGAGTGAGCCCAATGTCAAAAATAATCTTCAGGTTTTCTATGCAGCGTCTTTTGTAATTGAGAATTATAAAAATAAATAAATAAATATATACATAAATATGTATACATACATACATACCATTATGTGAAACCCAATTTCCCGACTGGCGATTACTCTCTCCTCCAGCGATAAAATGAAACACACACACACACAGATTCCGAGATACTTTACAGGCTGCATGGCAATGCAATGCGCAATATAATCTAGTCAGAATGGGACTACGTGCTAAAGCTATAACTAATCAAGGGCGGGACATCTGGCCGCCCTTGTGCGGCGGCCTAAACTACCTTCCAGACCTCCTCGAAGGCGCTGCAGAGCTTGGAGCAGGCTATGGCCGCCGACAGCGGGTAGTTGCTGATGGAGAAGAGCTCCTCGGTGTAGTCCGTCTTGAGAACGCCATGCGCAAAGGCGCCGATCACCATAACCACGGGCTCATCGTAGGCCACACTGCCTTCCTCGCCGTGCGGGACAAGGTCGCGGCAGTTTGTGACCAGCTTTCCGGAGAAGGACATGGCGTATTTCTTGCAGCCGACCGGCAGATGGTCTGTGATGGGGTTCTTGATAACGCCCATCAGGCGGCGGGACGAGTCGTTGGCCCGAATCTGGAACTTGTGCAGCAGCTGGACCATCAGGCCGGCGAACCGCTTGAAAGTGCGTGGAATGCGCGTCTGGGGATTAATCTCGATGAGGACGTTGTGCTCGGTGCGCACAAACACTTGGAGCAGACCGGCACGGTTCAGCGGGGAGTCGAATAGCATTAGCAGGCATTGGTGGGTGATGTCGGGGCGGCAGGAGCCCGGATCGCGTTGATTCTTGCGCATAATGCCCGCGTGGTCGTCGCAGTTCAGCAGCTCGAAAGTGCCGTGCACCTGTTGGGACGAATGGTGTCAGTTGTCAGCCAGGGGCCAGGATTTGCGGGTGGGACTCACCTTAACCGTTTCCAGCTGGGCCCCCTCCAGCACGATGATCAAACGCTTCTCGCTGGCATTCACGTGCAGCACCTTGAAGTGTTTTTTGTCCAGATCGAATTCAGGATCGTCGCTCTTGCGTCCCACAAATTTGCGCTTGCGATTTATCATTTTTCCCTGGCCTCCCATTTTGTGGCAATTAACTTATATTTATTTCTACAAAAACAAATACCATGTGCACCATGTGCGGCGGCGGACAGCAATTATCGATGATTGATGGCTACTACGATGAATATTACAGTCCTGCTAGAACGGTCGATACTATCGATAGCCGTACTCACTCCATACTGCCATCTTCAGTCATAAACAACAATCAGCTGGGCTAAAGTTTTTACGCCTGCAATTACAAAAAACATTCTTTCAGACAGTTAAACATTTCGTTTAGCCGGAACAAGCATGTCTGTTCTACGCCGTGACGTGTCGCCTTTTTTCCAACGGATCCGGGCCTTTCTCCTGGGTGTATGTATGGAACTACGGGCCGCCCCAAGCCTCTCAAATGTTACGTTATGTAAGACAAAAAAGGAAAATTTATTGAATTCTATTGCAGCGTGAGCACAATCTGGCGCTGCGCTTCGAGAACGACGTAGCCGATCGCACCCAGCCCCCTCCAAGGATCCCCGACGGACCCTCGCAGCTGTACTCGGCCAACTATTACTGCCTGCGCGATGGCCGTCGCGAGGTGACTCCACCCATTGATCTGGTCGCGCAGCAAAAGCAGCTCGCATCGGACGGCGCAGTGCCCAAGGCGACCAAGCTACCCACTCCGGGCCAGGTATACGCCTGGGACTAAATTCAGTTTCAAGAAGAAATCATCTTTTTTTTTTATGTTGTAACTTGAAGCGCTTGAAGCTAAAATAGAATCAATTTAAGCATTCGAAAGTGTGATGGTATGTGGGTGAAGCATTTAATTTGATTGGAATATTTACAGTGCGGTCGGTCGGCCTAAAAACTAATTAAAACGGTGGGAATAGGAAACAGAGCAGCCCAGGGACGGGAAACGGGAGGATGGCAGAGAAAACTCAGTAGACGCGCGGCTTGATGCCCACATTGATGCCTGTGGTGGAGCGGAGGATGAGGTTCAGCACCAGCTGGACGTCCTCGCCTAGGGGCAGCAGCTCGAAGTGCCTCAACAGCTTGCTGATGGTGCTCTTCATCTCCAGCATGGCAAACTTCTGGCCAATGCAGTTGCGCGGACCCGCAGAGAAGGGCGTGTAGGCGAACGGATTGATCTCGCCCTTGCGCTCCAGACTGAACCGCTCCGGCACGAACTTGTGCGGCTCGGGGAAGTAGTCCGGATCGCGGTGGGCATGGTATATGAGTATCATGACATCCGTCTTGGCGGGTATGAGTTTGCCATCTGCAAGAAGCGAATCGTCGTTAAGGAGAATCATTTCCGATGAGTGGAAAAGGGAACCTACCCAGCAGTGTGTCCTCGACAATGTGGCGTCCGATTATCGGCACCGAGGGGAACAGTCGCAGCGACTCCTTGATCACACACTCCAGATACTTGAGCTCGCCCAGCTGCTGGATGTTTACGGGGGCATCCTTGTCGTCCCCGAGCACATCGCGCAGCTCCTGGAAGACGCGAGCCTGCACCTCCGGATGGCGGGCCAGCAGATAGCTGGTGAAGGCAATGCTGCTGGTGGTGGTGTCGTGGCCCTCGAACATGAACGTGTCCACCTCCTCCCGTATGTCCTCATTGCTGAGTGGCGCCCCGTCAATGGACGACTGCAGGAGCACGTCCAACAGGGCCATGCGCCGCTTCTGACCCACATCGTCCAGGGGCGTGGCGTTGCTCGCCTCGTAGGTGCCCTCGGCGATGGACTTCTGCAAGAGGTCACGCCGCTCGCTGATCACGCTGTTGGTGAAGTCCTGCATCGTCTTGACGTTCGCATTCAGCTTGGCGAAGGCGGCGGGGAAGAACAGGCGCATGAAAATGTCCAAACGCTGTGCGGGATTCGTAAATCGCTCGGCCAGCATGGCAGAGGCCCTGGGAGGAGAATGAGGATGAGGCATTGCAATGAGCAGATTGGAATGAATCGAAGCGGCAGCTAACTCACGTGGTCACCGACTGGACGTAGGGAAAGTTGGGCTGCAGCTGGGCATTGATCTTGACGCCCATGGCCGTCTCGGCGATGATGTCCATGGCGCAAAGGCAGGCGACGGGGAACATGTTGATCACGGTCTTGCCATCCGCCCGGTCGTACAGATTCTTGGCCATGGTGGCGCTCTGCTGGTCAAAGACTTCCACGAACTGCTCGAGGATCTTGAAGTGGAACGCGGGCGTGATGATCTTCCGCCTGCGGAACCACTTCTTGCCCTTGCTCAGCAGCAGCCCGTCGCCCAGCCAGTTGACCAGCAGGCCGTATAGGTTGTTCTTCTGTATGGTCTGCTGGCTGCTCATGATCGCCTCGATCATCTTGGGGTCCGCCGTCATCAGGCCGCGGTCCTGCAGAATCTGAATTCGTATGTTCTTGCCATGGGTCTTGATAAGGCGCCACTGCAAGTCGAACACAGCTGCAAGACGCAGAGAGAGAGAGAGATTCGGTTTGGTTAATGGATATGGATAGCTGGAGAGGATCGCCCCGTTTGTGTGGCCTACTTTTGGGCGTCTCCTTCATCATCATCGGGGCATTGCCCACAAGCGGCCATCTACGGGGTCCCGTGATTCCTGCCCTGTCAAAGTACTTGCTGTGCTTCCGGCCGGCCAGATAGTCCCACACGAGGGCCACAGTCAGCAGCAGCACCAGCAGCTCCACAAACATTTCGTTCCTATTTTCCTATTTCTAAGATTTCCGTTCCGTTTTTACGGTTCTATCCAACGCTCTCACAATCCACGACCGACTGGTTGGCCATGCTCGGTGGTGACGCTGTTTTGTAGCTAATTCTGCCCGCGATAAGGGGACCATAATCAGCGGCCAGTAAACTTTACCCAAGGCGACGGTAGCCTAGGGATGGGGGTTGGTGGTTGGGGGTTAGAGGTCAGAACTGGCTGGAGAGTCTTTGCCTTGGCAGGGTCTCTCCGCTATCAGTAGTTGGAGTTTCGATTCGTTCGGATTCGCTCCCCGAGTTAATGGACCAGATAACTGCCCCACAGATGCAGATACGCTTGGTTGAGGATCTCCGCCCACCCACTGGGGACCCATTCATGGCGCTCATCGCACAGCACAGCGCAGCACACAAATCGCACGTTCAGCATGACTCAAGGCCTTTGGCTGCTATCGGAAGAATAAAACATTCAGATTGATACGGCAGTGGGCCAGTCCGTCGTCTAATCCATCTCTTGGATAACGTGAGAATATATGTGTGTGTGTGTGGGGGGAAGTAATCGGCTAAGAATTATCTGCTCTTGGGCTGATAATCTCTGCTCCATCTATGGCCAGCTCAAGCGAACAGGATAGTTCCCTGTCTTTGTGGGTTTCTTGCCCTAGCATGATGAGTGCTGGAAGTTCTTATCTTTCCTTTGCGTCATGCATAGTCACGCTTACTCAGCACTTTTGCGCACAAATCGGAGTTATCTCTAACACGATCTAATCTGCTATAGGCAAATGGATAACAAAGTAAACACCGTACTGGCAGTCGAGTCAGAATCTGCCAAAAAGGTCAGGATATATTTCGGTTTATATACTCCGAGAGTCAGTCCAGGTCCAGTGAGTCCCCACTGAGGCTGTATGGCAGAATACTCTAATTTAATTGAGCAGATTCGATACGATCTGCCCTAGGTCATTCTCTCTTAAGAACTGGCTCTGACGGCTCTCTCTTCAGTGCAACGTCTGAGCGTATCTGCGTCCGATTTGGATGCTGTTCTCCAACTGGTTTCAACTACGTCTTCATTCGTAGGCGCTCTCATTGCCCATAGAACGCTTTCCACGAGACTCTTTTTACATAGAGAGCGCATTTCGAGTGTCGCTTTAGAGCTTTGTTGCCCGTTTGGGCTTTTGCTTGCATTGAAAGCCGTGGGCATCGTATTCACCAGACCTTTATCAGTGTTCCCGCATGTGCATTGATAGTAGATAGTGGAACCTAGTCTACATTTAATGTGATAATTCTATTTGCATCTCAATCTATAGATAGCATAGAACTTAACCTAAATAGCGGATTACTGACTCTGCATGACAAAGAACTCGCTTTCAGAGCATTCTCTTGCCCAGTAGAAGATGCATTTTGGTGTGCAGTTTCCTTTCAAATTCAAACAGGTAAGCATTACGAAGTAGAAGTATAGCAATCGCGATAACAATTGCGGGAAATCATTCGAGTCCATTAATTTCTCTTAGGCATCTGGCTCTCTCTGCCTCATGCTGTCGTAATCTCTTCAGACTTCAGCCGGTTGGGTTGGGCTCTCTTTCGAGATAGCGGGGGAGAGCCAGAGATAGCCAGTGATAGCCAGTGAAGTGCTGGACTATGGCTTAGTCGCAGTCAGTTTGCAATTGTGTGCACAATGCTCGTGTTTGGGCTGTTCCTGGTGGCGCTTGCCACCGTTCTGGTGTGGGACTATTTGTGGCGCAAGCGGCGCAATGATATGCTCCACTATATGCCGGGTCCGCGGGGCCTGCCGCTGGTGGGCAATGTCCTCATGTACCGCGGCCTCGATGCCGAGCGTAAGTTCAGTCCCAGACCAATCCAATATATACGGCAGTTACATGGCCGCCGATTGCAGAGATCATGGGCTTTGTGTGCAAGAACCGGAACAAGTACGGGCCACTCTACAAGGTGTGGGTGCTCAACCAGCTGGCCGTCTTCTCCACGGACCCGCGCGACATCGAGTTCATCCTCAGCAGCCAGCAGCACATCACCAAGAACAATCTGTACGAGCTGCTCCACTGCTGGCTCGGCACGGGCCTCCTAATGAGCACCGGCAAGAAGTGGCATGCCCGCCGCAAGATCATCACGCCCACCTTCCACTTCAAGATCCTCGAGCAGTTCGTCGAGATCTTCGACCAGCAGAGCGCCGTCATGGTGCAGCAACTGCAGCAGCGGGCTGATGGGAAAACAGCCATTAACATTTTCCCAGCTGTCTGCCTCCTGGCGCTGGACATCATAGCAGGTGAGTGGGCCTCCATCTGCATCATCTGTGTCTTAATCTGCATCTGAATCTGCATCCGGATAGAAACCGCCATGGGCACCAGGATCCAGGCACAGATGAGTCCCAATCTGCCCTATGTCCAGGCCGTCACGGAGTGAGTTTCAGGGCCGAAGAACACCGCGTTGCGCGACATTTTCAACGCATTCCTCGCCTTCTTTCAGGGTGACCAACATCATGACCACCAGATTCATCCATGCCTGGCAGCGCATCGATTGGCTCTTCCGCCTGGTTAAGCCGGGCATGGCCCGGCAGCAGGATAGCGCCATTAAGGTGATGCACGACTTCACCGAGGGCATCATTAAGCAGCGTCGCGAGGCTCTGGTCAGTGGCGGGCAGAAGGAGGAGGACGTGGAGGAGACGGATGACCTGGGACAGAAGCGGCGCATGGCCCTGCTGGATGTGCTCCTGCAGTCGACCATCGATGGGGCGTCACTGAGCAACGACGACATCCGCGAGGAGGTGGACACGTTCATGTTCGAGGGCCACGACACCACCACCTCGGCCATCTCCTTCTGCCTGTACGAGATCTCTCGCCATCCACAGGTGCAGCAGCGGCTGGTGGAGGAGATCCACGAGGTGCTGGGCGTGGACCGCCAGCGTCCGGTCACCCTGCGCGATCTGGGCGAGCTCAAGTATCTGGAGAACGTGATCAAGGAGTCGCTGCGCCTGCATCCTCCCGTGCCCATGATCGGCCGCTGGTTCAACGAAGATGTGGAGATACGTGAGTGCGGTGATGGGGAGGGGGGGTGGGTTCCACGGTTCCGTTCCTGGCAGTAAGCGCACTCCTTGCCATTCATTGCAGGTGGAAAGCGCATTCCGGCTGGCACCAACTACACCGTCGGCATCTTTGTCCTGCTCCGCGATCCCGAATACTTCGAGTCCCCCGACGAGTTCAAGCCGGAGCGCTTCGACAGCCCCTCGCCGCAGACGCATCCCTACGCCTACATTCCCTTCTCTGCGGGTCCGCGCAACTGCATTGGCCAGAAGTTCGCCCTGCTGGAGATGAAGAGCACCATCAGCAAGCTGCTGCGCCACTTTGCGCTGCTGCCCCTCGGTCCCGAGCCGCGGCCGGCCATGAACATTGTCATGCGCTCGGCCAACGGGGTGCACCTGGGCCTCCAGCCCCGTCCAGTTATCGCCAGTTGATTGGCGCTCCCAGCTCCCGGCTCCCAGCTCTCGGCTCCCAGCTGTGGTGGACTCAAGAATATTTGTTAATCGAATTTAAGCTCTGATAATTGGTTGTGGTAATTGTAATTGGCTTTCCAACTTGTTTCGCTTTCTGCTTAATGGCCAACAGCTGGCGAGCCGCCATCAGCTGTTTTCGCTTGCTGCTCTCTCCCTCTCTCTCTCTCTCTTTCCCCCTGCTAGGGGCGGACTTTTCGAACGAACCCTTTGGCTTATATAATTAAATTATAATCAATCCCCCGCAGAAACGATGCAAATAAAAAGTGTTCGGACATCGGGCACACACGTACACACGAGTATTTATAAATAGTTTCACGGGTGTCGCTCCCAGTTCCACCTCCAGCCAGTTCAAGTGCCCGATAAGATTTGAGTTTCCTCCGACAGTCGCCAGTGCCAGTGCATACTGGATTTGGATCTGAATCTGCGCGGTTTGCTCGGTATTCCATCATGCTGTTGGCTCTGTTGCTGACACTGATCGTGAGCCTGATTGTGGTGTGGCTGCTGCAGCTGGCAATGAGGGAGATGAGGCACCCGCTCAGGGGACTGGTGCCCAGCGTCTCGCGGGTGCCGCTGATTGGAGCCGCCTGGCAGATGCGCAGCTTCCAACCAGACAGTAAGAGACATTGCTCAGCGCACATATTGGAGGCTCCGCCCTCAGATTCACTGCGTTTCTGCCCCTTAGATCTGCATGAGAAGTTCGCCGAGTACGTGCAGCGCTTCGGACGCAGCTTCATGGCCACCGTTTGGGGCCAGGTGATTGTGGTCACGGCCGAGCCGAGCCATGTGGACGCCTTGCTGCACAGCCAGGAGCAGCTGCGCAAGAGCAGCATCTATGGGGCCCTGCGCGGCTGGCTGGGCAATGGTCTGCTGCTCAGCCGGGGCGGGCAGTGGCACGGCATGCGCAAGATCATCACCCCCACCTTCCACTTCAGCATCCTGGAGCAGTTCGTTGAGGTGTTCGACAGACAGAGCCAGCGGCTGGTGGAGCGCCTGCAGCCCTTGGCGAATGACGGTGGGGGGGCTGCCATCAACATTTATCCGTACGTGGGCTTGGCCGCCCTCGACATCATCACTGAGACGGCCATGGGGGTCTGTGTGGATGCTCAACTCGATGCCGACTCCGCTGTGGTGCAGGCCGTCCGGACGTAAGTGCCACCACCGCCTTCCTCGTTGTGCTCATTGTGTTTGAACCGCTCATTCCCATTCCCATTCCCGGCTGCAGCGTGACGAATACTCTGGCCACCAGGTTCATGCGTCCGCATCTGCTGCCGCCGCTGCTCTTCCGACTCTGCTGGCCCAGCGGCTTTCGGAAGCAGCGCGAGGGTGTCAAGTGCCTGCACCAGTTCACCGACAGCATCATCGAGCAGCGTCGCCAGCTGCTGAGGCGAGAGAGATCATCCGGTGACCCGGGTGAGCCAGCGGAAGGGGAGCGGGGCAGGCGCAATGCCTTGCTGGACACACTGCTGAGGGCAAGGGTGGATGGCCAGCCGCTGACGGACAAGCAGATACGCGACGAGGTGAGCACCTTCATCTTCGAGGGTCACGACACCACCACCTCGGCCGTCTCCTTCTGCCTGTATCTCCTTTCGCGGCACGGGGCAGTCCAGCAGCGGCTTTTCGATGAGCTGCAGGCGCACTTTGGCCGCGACCTGGACCGCGCCGTGGTCTATTCCGACTTTGCTGCTTTGCCGTATCTGAATTGTGTGGTCAGGGAGGCACTGCGCCTGTATCCGCCCATTCCGGCTGTGGGACGTTGCCTGGAAACGGACTTGGCAGTGGGTAAGTGGCCGCCTAGCTAGTTAGCGCACAGATAAGACACGAGACTAGGACATACCTATCCAGAAGGTGGCCGAATTCCAGCGGGAACCAACGTGATCCTGCTGCTCTGGCAACTGCTGCGGGATGATACGCTCTTCGCGGAGCCGCTGCTCTTTCGACCGGAGCGGCACCTCAGCGGCACAGGCCACTCCCGGCAAGGGCGCCTACACCAATATACCCTTCAGTGCGGGTCCGCGCAACTGCATCGGCCAAAGGTTTGCCTTGTTCGAGGTCAAGACCGTGGTCATAAAGATGCTCAGACATTTTGTACTGCTGCCCCTGGGCCCGGATGTGGAGCCCTCAATTAAGATCGTTTTGCGCTCCCGAAACGGTGTTAATTTCGGACTTAGCCAGCGCTTGTATTGAACAGCTGTCTGCAGTGCAGGCTCGACTAATATTTAAAACTCGCGCTGCTGATATCGATAGCTATATCGATACTTACTATTAATACGTCTAGTTAATTGAATAAAATTAGAAATACTTCTAGTTCAAATTCATTGTGGCTTAGTAATTGTTGTAATTCTACTTTCGTTGTATAAACATTTTTCGTGGCCGTGCTGCTGCGCCAGCATCTCTAGCCAGTGGTGGGACATCGATTGAAAACACACACACATCGAAACGGTCAACTGTTGCTTGTCTGCAGTCGGACGGCAGCTGCTATCGATTCAGAATCAACAGTCCTGGGAGGTGGGAGGGGTTGAGCTTTTGCCGAGTGGTCATAGTTTTCTTGGATTGGAGCCTAAATAGTTAATTGAAAATGCGCTTCGTCCGTTTTCTCACCCAAGCTCGGAGCACGCTCAGCCGTGTAAGTATCGCCAGGGATGACCTTGGCCAGCAGGCACAGCACTGATGGGGATTCTTGTTTTCAGTACCTGGCCGACGGGTCGACGGTAGCCTGGCAGGCTCCCCGCGTTGACGAGCTGCGCAAGCTGCACGTCGTCATTGGCAACGAGTCGTGCGATCTGGACTCGGCTGTCTCGGCCCTGACACTGGCCTTCATTTACGCGGAGCGTAACCAGGATCACGACTATGTGCCCGTGCTGAACATTCCACGCAGGGACTACCTGCTGAAGACAGAGGTGGGCCATATGCTGACCAAGTGCGGCATTGCCGAGGCCATGCTGCTCTTCCGCGACGACTTGCCGAGCCAATTCACCAAGGATGTCAGCGTGGTGCTCGTTGACCATCATGTGAGTGAGCTGGCGCCACATGTGGTGGAGATTCTCGACCATAGACCCATCGATGGCGGCAATCCCAAATACATGCTGCTGCCCCAGAGGTGTGTGCGCAGCATTGAGCCCGACATCGGCTCCTGCGCCACCCTCGTCGGCCAGCGCTACTTGGCCGCGGAGCAGCCACGGTCGCCCATCGTCGCCCAGCTACTGCGCGCCACCATAGTCCTGGACACAGTCAACTTCTCGGCCACGGCCAAGCGCTTCTCGCCCACCGACCTGGCCATGGTGGAGCAGATGGAGAAGGAGCTTAGCCCAGAGGGAGGCCAGTCAGTTGTTGGGGATCGCACTGAGCTTTTCAATGAGCTGGTGGCGGCTCGCGCCGACATAAGCAAGCTGACACTCACCGAGGTCTTGCGCAAGGACATGAAAATGATTCAGACCGAGCGTCAGAGGGTGCCCATGGCCGGAATGCCCATCCTCATAAGGGACTTCATCGAGCTGAGTGGCGCCGAGAAGGCGGTGCGCGAGTTTGGGATCGACAGCAACCTGCTGGTTATGCTCGGCATGTACGTCTCCCCCGTGGATGGCACGGTGCAGCGCGATGTGGGCCTCATCTCGTTGGCCGGCCAGAGCCAGCTGGTGGAGTGCGTCCGCCTGGCCATGGTGGGGTGCCAGGAGCCCTCGCTGGATCTCAGGGCCCACGACGTGGGCAGCCGCTTCATGGGCGGCTGCTACCTCCGTCAGCACAATCTCCGCGCCACACGCAAGCACATTCAGCCCGTGGTCAAGCGGGCTCTGATGGAGTGGGAGGAGATCCATGGCTTTGGCTGCAACGAGGTCTACTTCTTCAAGGAGAAGCCCAAGCTGGGCCTCTCCTAAGTCAAAGGCAGCACCCGAGAAGAGGAGGTTTAGCCAATACTTAGCAAGGATTCAATGGGTGGGTGGCGATGATCGATGCTCGATATGGAGTCTCCGTGGGAAGGAATTCCAAAAAGTAGTTCCCTTTAGTTGTTTAAGTGATCATATATGTATGTACAGGGCATATATATATATACATATGTATGCAAGAAATAAATGTGTATGAATAAAACTAAAGCTCGGGCTCCGCGTCCTCCGCGTTGCCAGCCTCGCCCATCTCGTCGTCGGCGCACTCCAGCGTCATGTCCTCCAGCATCTCCTCGAGCGTGATTTGGGGCACGTCGCCTGTGGCCGCCTGCACCTCGATTGGCAGCGTCTTGTTCGTATCGCGATAGATGTTCACCTGCCCGCGCATGTCCACGTTCTCCTCGAGATCGTCGAGGAACTCGTGGTAGTCGTGTTTGCTGCGCTCGTCGGTGGCCTCGGCGGCCAAGTGCTTGATCTTCCACAGGCGCTGATTGAGGCGGGCCTGGCGATCGTAGTGCTTCCGCACCAGGATGACATCGGGCACCAGGTCTGACGGGAGTTTCTCGAACTCCGGATCGTTGATGTTGGCCTCGCCCGTGTTGTAGCCCATGACGGAGTCGCCCACCTTCAGCAGGTGGCCGAGATGGGAGCGTGTGTGAATTGGATTGTCGTTGATGCCCAGCTCCGAGGAACGCACCACCCAAATGTCGCAGAGGGCGTGCTTGAAGGACAACTGGCCCTGGCCGGGATACGTTTTGCGATCCTTCTCCATGATCACCTCAATGTCCATGACCACGTACTCCACCAGCTGCTTGGGATTGCAGACAGCCTCGAAGGGAGCTCTGCGAAATGCGAGATGATAACTGAATGAATCTGCCGCCCTTTGGGACGAGGGAATTGTCAATCTGAATTACCTGAAGTACACCTGGGATGTTAGCTCGGCTATCTGGGCCGTCAGGGGATCGATGAGATGGATGCTGCTGGAGACGCGGTTCACCAGGCAGATGGGCGACAGGTTGCCCAGCTGGTGGCGCAGCTTCTTGGAGAGGCAGACGGCGCTGTCCTTGGACACGGGCGTCAGCTCCACCGACCACGAGTACTTGTAGTTGTAGTTGTTGCTGTGGATGTCGTGCGAGATGAGACGCTTCGAGGTGGTCACTTTGCCGGGCACCATGGTCAGCAGGAAGTCCACCATTCGACGGGCATGGTTCTCGTTCGCGTAGTAGAAGTCCAGGCCGCCGTGCTCCGGCTTAATGCCCAGCGTGTGCTCGTGCGCCTTGTGCTTGAGGATCAGCTGCTCCAGGTAGTAGAATGTCTTCTTGTTCTCGGCGCGCTGGCGCACTTGCACCAGGCAGCGCCAGAAGTCCTTCGCTTCGGTGCGATGGCAGTCGGTGCACATCTGATTCTGCACAGTGAACTCCACGACGAAGACCTGCTGGAGCACAGTGCCCCCAACGATCTCGCCATGTACCGTGAGCTTGACCTTGATGCGCTTCGAGTGCTGTTCGGTCCATATAAAGCCCGCGTCGACCAGCTTCACCTCTTTAAGTCCCTTCAGCTTTTTAAGGCACAGCGCCAGCAGCTCGCGGGACTCGAGGGAGGCCTGAATCCACTCGGTGGGAGGCTGCAGGTAGCGCTCGCAGTTGCGGCAGAAGTGCAGCACCGCCTGCTTGGGTATGTTCTCAGTTATGTCCACATGGTTGCGCAGGCAAGTGACGCACATGTTTGCTGGATTCGGTTGAATGGGAACGGCACACTCGCAGCAGAGGATGACGGCGTCGGGGGCGCTCTGGATGCTGCCGTCGACAGCGGAGCCCAGGGGGCTGACGCCAGCGTATTCGTGGTCCATGGGTGTGTGTCGCGAACTTCCCTTTTTCTCTCGTGTACTTCCTAATGACGCTGTTTCTGACGCAGTTGCAAGAACATGTAGGTAAACACGTGCAGAGTACGAAACGAATGAAGCATAATACAGGGCTGCCAACTCACATGGAAACGCCATGTGAGCATATCGATAGTGCGCAATCGATGACGGCGGTGGGGGTGTGGGGTGACATGTGTCAAACACACTGCCTCTCTGCCATCACTAGGAAATATTAAAGCAAAAACAATAGATCAGATTTTTTTTTTTTGAACCGGCAAAGTGAATAATTCATCATCATGCAGAAGAAACCCATCAATGCCAACGCACTGCTGGACAAACTGCATCGCGGCGCTGTCTACGCCTGCATCGGCGTCACCCTCTACGGCACCTATGTGCTAGGTAGCCGCTACTACCACTACTACACTGTGATTCGGCCGGAGAAGCAGCAAATGGAGCTGAAACTCCTCGACGAGGGTGCCCACGACAAGGCCAAAGAGCTGAAGTACTAGCAGTTCTCCTGATGTTCTCTTTAATGTTTGTTAAGCGTAATAAATTGTAAGGAAATGTAAGCATTTTCCACTGAAATGGATACGATACCAAAAGTCGCAGCTACTGCAGCTGTTGTTGTTGTGTAATAGGCCCAGCTGATTTGATTGCTTCATCAAAGAAGCAAAGGAGGGGACGGTTTTATCGGCTGCTTGTGGAAGATCGGATCTGGCCATAGCCAGATGGTCCCACAGAAATCTGTGTCCCTGTCGGGGGGAGGGCCAACAATGCGCCATTAACAGTCGTGCTAATAAATCAAGCGACTAGACTAGTCAATGATAGATAGCACAATGGGGAATCAATCAATTTGTGTGGCCACGGCACTCGGCGGCAAATGGCAAGACTAGAATTATGTAAAAGCCGGGCCAAGAATTATGGTTTAGCTGGCAATCAAAAATGTTGCCCGTATCTCTGAGGGGCATCGTGACTGGATCTGGTGGGGTCTGGCTTCCGCTTGCTTAACTTGGCCCGCATCTGCAGTCGGCAGTCGGCAGTCAGCAGACAGCAGTCGGCGGTGATCGGGGATCGGAGACGTCGCGTGCATTAACCTTATCGCCGGTGCTGGCTGGGTCGGGCAACTGCAGCCGAATAATCCACGTACTTGCGAGTATTAACATTAAATGGTACAACAACAGCAACAACAATAGACACGGGCGTATTGGCTATAACAATGGTGTTGCCACCCACTTTTGGGATGATGTCGAGACGTCGCCGGCGGGGGCTTGTGAAACACCGTTTGCATTTTCCATGCTTCATTTCATTCAACAATGTTGCCTCCGGCATTGCCTCATTCAGTCCTCAGTCCTCGGCGCCCTCTCCCCAACTCTTCTGCTCGCTCCCATCGAGTTGGCCAATCAAAAAGTGCATTTACAATTGAAGCTGCACTGCGGTCAAGGTCGTCCTTCATTGTGGCCCAAAGCACTCGGAAATGAGTCGGAAACGGTAACGCGACCTAGCGATACCCAGTGCCCATACTCGTATATGCATGTAATTCCTGCCAACCATTGGGTTTTGGGATTATGTTTGTTTTGCTTATGAACTAATATTGTTGTTAGCAACGAATGACTTGGAAAAAGGCTTTATCTAGCAGCTGCAGAATAATTTCTGCTTGCAGAGAGGAAAGTGCCAGCATACCCTGCCATTTATGGCAGGCAAGTCAATAAGTCGTGCACTTTGGATATTCTTTCGATAAGAGGGAGCAGATATTTTTTGTTTTGTTTTGCATTTGAAATGATCTCGCAGAGATTTCAACGGCTGGCAGCTTAATTAAAAATGCCAAAATGCTGTAAACGTGCAATTGTTCATAATTTGTACGTACATATTTGTGTACATATGTATGTATGTATAATTGTAATCGCATTAATATTGTATGTTCGAATGCATTTCCCACGGGGCTTGTGGCATTTCGATTTGGGAGCCCGCTGCTAGATGGATCACTGAGAAGTCCCTCCCTCCTATGAATGTATGTGCATTAGGTAATTACCTCTACAGTAATCCATACATATGTACATACATTCATGCGTATGCAATGCGTATGCATGTAAGCATCAGCTGGCCTGGGTGAAAGTGTCATACGATAGTTGGTCGTCAGGTGATTGTGGCACGCATTGCAGTGTGTCGTCTGTGGATTGTATTGCCAGGGTGTGGGATTCAGTTTGTTGGATTGCATAATAGGAGGCCGCCGCGGCTCCTAGAACTTGCATTTGGGTTATAAATTTAGCAGATATCGGCGGATAGTCGATGGTGGTGAGGAAAAACGTTAGTTGCAACGCCCACTGCCGGATCTGAGGGGATGAGCGGAGAATTGACCTTTTGGCTCGTTGCACGCTGCGCCGCTCTAGCATAAACGATATTCGATTTCAAGCCCGTCCCTCGACCCGTCATGCATTCAATCCCTTAGCTTTAACAATCGCTGAATTCTCTGCCGATTCTCTGCTGCTGCGCTGCTGCGGCTGCTGCTCTGATGCTGCTCTGATGCTGCTCTGATGCTGCTCTGATGCTCCTCTGCTGCTGCGCTGTTGCTGCTGGATGGGGTTGGGGTTTTGCATAACTGCAAATTGTAGCAGCAATGCGCTGTCGGTGGCTATAAAAGCGCACGGCAAGCTCCCACCATGAACAAACGTAGGTCGGCTCCAATCGCGACAACCAGCAGCGACTCCATTCCAGACACAACAAAGTCCCCTCAACATGAAGTACTTGGTAAGCGGGTGGAACAGCACGAAGATCTGCAGCAGCATCGCCGCCCAATCCCAATGGAATACTAACCCAATCCTCCGACAATCTTGCAGTGCGTATTTGTGGTACTTGCCATATGCCTGGCCAGCAGCTGGGCAGCCATATCCGAGCCCGCCGGTGCTCTTCCTGAGGATCCTGCGCAGGATACGGCCGCCGTTGGCGAGAAGAAGACGGAGAAGCGCGGTATCTATGGCTTTGGCCACGGATACGGCGGTTACGGCGGTTACGGCGGACACGGCTATGGCCATGGCTATGGCGACTATGGACACGGCCACTATGGCTACGGCAGTCCCTACTACGGCAGCTTTGGATACGTGCATACCGCGCCATATTATGGCGGCCATCTCGGCGGCTACTATCCCTACCATGGTCACGGCCACTACGGCTACTATTAGGAGGAAATGAAGGCTGGCTCCTGAGAAAGCACGCACAAATCCATGCTTACATTTTTTTTTTTATCGCTTCACGTTCATCTCCTGCACATCATGCAAATATCTATATAGATGTATTGAATTTTCAGTCTAAAGAAAATGAAATAAAAACTTAAAAATTTAAAACTAAGCCGTTCGCGCCGCTCTATGCCGACGGGGTACAGGGTTGATAAACACAACTATCGATACTTCTAGCGAAAACTATTCCTGGTCTGAGTACTAGAAATAAAATGTTCTACAGCTTTGGTGGCTAAATAAAGATAATTGTATTCTCGCCTTTCTTTTGAATTTAAACTTATACTGAAATAAAGTATAATCTTATTATGATAACCACCCCCCCACTCCCCTGTTAAATTCGCTTTCTCAGCGATCTGGCAACTGCGAGGAATAACTGTTTATGGAAAGCCATTGATCGCTGCAAAATATATTTTCGTGGAACCACATTTAATTTTTCTGAGCTTTAAAATGCTGAAACGTGATCTGCAGAGCATCACATTGAAGCTGTCGGATCTCAAGGAGTACGACGCGAAGCGCCTTGAGCACAAATTTAAGAACCAGCGCCCCAGATGCTCCGTGGAAACCATCACCGGGGACGACGCGTCCACGTCTGGCACGGCAACTTCCAGCTATACAGCTGGCACGTGCACAGAGACGCCCTCCACTGGCTCGACCACACCAACGCTGGCTAGTCAGGAGGATCTGGCTGATCGCCCGCCCCGACCCACATCTGCGGCAGCCACAGCCACAACGGCGACCACGAATTCCGGCTCCACCGACGATGATATTAGCGTGGCGGCCGTGGCCGATGACAACGACACCATCGATGAGCTCAGCGACGACAACTGGGTCGACATGGATGCGGACACTAACGACGAGGAGGGGGCAAGAGGAGGAGGCTAGACTGGCATTCCAAAATTCAAGATCGATTCTCACACCTATGCAGAGGGTATTTATGCATTGTCCAGATGTTTGCAGCGCACCGAATGCGAGGGTTGCGTTACAGGGTTACACCTTAACACAGACAAATGTATGCATGCAAAATGCTAGCAAAATAATAAAGCCTTTGTGAGAACATAAATGGTGTGAGGCTATATGTATGGTATGGAATTGGCATCTCCTTTACAAATGAGACAGATTGATTTGTTGGCCAATTCGCGGTGGGGATTGGGCATTGCACTGATCATGAGAGAACACAACACACAACGGTGATGTTGATTATTGGACTCAGTCCAGCCTCATCCTCCTCCTATCCTCAACCCCAATGACCAATCTTCTAGCTGTTTAAACATCCAAATTTGATTTCTCTAGCACTTATTGTCTCTGAGATCTGAGATCTAAGAGATGAGCGTTCCCCAAGACGGACGGACGGACGCAAAAGGCTATATCGACTCGGCTATTGATGCTAACCAAGAATATATGTACATACTTTATGATAAACGCTAAGAGGAGTTTACCTTCATTTATCTTTGTTCTTCATGGGATTTCAATGGGATTTTGGGCGTTGCAGGTGGGTAAATAAAACTATTTTTAATTGACTAAACTCCCCAAAAAGAATATGTATGTACATAGTTTAATCAGAAGAGTTCGACTCTATTTTCGGATGCGCTGTGCAATTATCAAGCTCAGTATATTCCCTTGATTTGATTGCAAATTTCTTGAATTAAAATAAATGCGGCATACTTTTCGGATCTCCAAATTGGCTAAAAAATTTTGGAACATACGTACATACATATGTACATATATTCGAACGTGATTTTTCCGTACATAAAGTTCGATCTGCGCCGAATCTTATTGCAAATTGGCTAATAACTTTGTTTCGAAAATTTATAAAGGGGGCTGTCAGGACAATCACGAAGGGTAATCCAGGGTATCCTTACACATAAAATTTTAATATATAGGTTTCGTATATATTTAATTGGGTTTAAGTACAGGTTGTATTGTATTTTTGTGGCTTGCTTCATTGTTGTCTACAAATAAAATTAAATACAAAATTAAATTTTGATCGCTTGCCAAAAACAGAAGTGAAAATTTGTACAGTTTTGTATTATAATTAATATTATTATTAATATATAAAGAGTTATAAGCATAGCTTAGGACCCGTAGTAGGAAGATGTAGCTTTTGCTGCTCTGGCCCTTAGCTAACATTTTTGTTGTACTATATATTAGCCTAATTAATATATTTAAAATAATATTAAATCTATCAATGTTCACTTTCATATTCTCACAAATATTCGGCTACTCTGGCGCTAATGGCATTAAAATATTCACTATATACCCTTAAAAACAATCTCTTTAATCAGACAATTAGTTACTCGTATAGGCAGGATCGGTCGAATAACAAGGAACAAAATTTATATAAGAATTAATATGGAAGGTTGTGCAACGCTTCGTTGCCTGAAGCCAGCTTATCTTTATTTTTTCCAAATTCAATATTTGTTTCGCAAGATGTCTGGGGAGTGGGGGGGAAGGACCAACTGCACATGTGCCTCTCCCCCACAAGGGGTAGGAAATCTTGAGGCGCAGCTTGGCTGTCAATCCCAGACGCCACGCTACCAGCTGGGGGAGGTTACCCAACCTGTTGCCATATGCAGCTTTCGTAATGCCAGAAACTCCCAAGACATGTGGATGCATGTAGCGCACATGTGCGGGCCTGTCACGGAAGCGCAAGGATCCATGGGTGACGACACTCAAATTGTTAACTCTTCAGTGAACCTCAGGCTCACAATCCACGTGATTCGGGTGCGCACATTTCTGGTGGAGGCAGTGTCAGTGTCACTGACAGTTACTGTGGCAGTGGCTGTGGCTGTGGCTGTGGGGGGGGCCAACAGTGCAGTGGAAAAGCACACTATAAAAGCTCGAAAGCTTGTACTCGGCGCTGCATTTCAAAAAGGGACGTCGAGCTCGGCTGATTCTGCTGTTTTGTTTCGCTCCCAAGACTGGCCAAAACGCAGCGCTCAATCCTGTCTCCTGGTCGCCGCCAGCCTTCCCGCTTCTCGCCGGTTACTTCAAGTGCGGGACCCCCCGGCTCGGGTTCCAGTTTCAGTCCAAACTAAATTGGGGACAGTTTAAGTTAATTACGCGAACAAATTCGATTTTCGAGCGGCGTGTCCAGGTATTGGTGCATAATAGCGCATAAGCATCGGTGTATATCCGTGTGTATATCCGTGTGTGTGTGCGCCGTATCGAGCGTCCGTGACCTGCAGTTAAGGATCGACCCGTGCTGGGCCGGGCGCATCACGTGGCACGTGCCAGCGAAAAGTGCAAGGGTAAGTTTACGTGGCCCGAGGGACGCCCCCCCGGGCAACAGACACAGTTGCAGCGCGGCGCAGCGCGGCACGGCACGGCATGGCATGGCACAGAGCCATGTACATTGATATACTCGTAACCACCTGTCCATGCACACACACAGATACGAGCATACAGAGAAGAGACTGTTGCGGCAAAGGGACACGGCACACGGAACACGGGACACGGCACAGGAAACACGGGCTACGGCACAAGGCACGTGCACCAGCGATAGTACAGTGACGCCTGCCGAGGCCAAGGAGCTGCCGATGCTGGCCATTCAGTTTCAATGAGTTCTCCCGCGCGGTCGTTGTCCGATCCACCTCAGGACCAGCCCCACTATTACTTTATTGATTGTAAGTAAACCATTTTGCAGTTCCTAACATACCCCCACCCCCCGGTGACAGACAGGCTTTCATTAGCCTGTGCATAATTAGCCCCACCACCCAAGCCACACAAACCACTCAAACCACAGACGCATAGGCACAGTTGGGGGTGCGAGGGTGCACTGGCACTCAACAGGTGCTAACTAGCCGCCCACTGGCCTACTGGCTGGCTTGCAATATTAATACGACACAAAGCGGGCACGACAAGTGCATGTTAAATAGAAGGCGGTAACAATGCAAACGACACGACACGACCCGACACGGCCTGCCACAGAGCCACAGGATGCCCTGCCTGGGCCAGTGCCATCCCCATCCCATCCCGTCCCCTTCCCGCCATTTGACTTTTGGTTGGGTCTGGGCCCCTCGCACTTGGCGCCTTAACAAGTTCCTACAGCCAGCCCTTAGGCTGCGTCATGGCAATGCGGCATGTTTCGTGCTGTCGCTGCAGTTGTTATTTTCATACCCAGTACTCAAGCAATACAGGGGTGTATTCGATTCGTGCAGAGGTATGTAACAGTCAGAAGGAAGTACATACATATATTCTTAATCAGCATCAAGAGCCGAGTCAATATAGCTATGTCCGTTCGTCTGTGCGTCCCGATGAGCGCCTAGATCTCAGAGACACACAAAGCTAGAGCACAGAGCAAATATTCGATTCAGGGCTTCTGATAAAAAGGCTTCTGCCATGCCCCTTTCCGCCCCCACAAAGATCTGTGGCATCCTTCCACGCGCCTACTCAGTCTCTATCTTCCAGACTGTGATCTAACAGATCATTAGCTGGAAAGGGGAAACACAGAGTGCCAGAATTGACATTATAGAGCCTACCCATCGGTCGTGGTTCCTCTCCTTCTCACTATGTTTTTCCCATCTCTTATGACAAGTGCGCGAAGAGAGAGAGAGAGAGAGAGATATCCCGGTCACATCCTCTCGCATCGGGTATAGAGGTAGATCCGCGGCCCTTGCCGCGGCTCACAACTTTCCCACTCGTTTGTTGCAGTCTTTGGGGCAACAGAAAACGGTCTGTGTGCATTTGTGTTTCTTTTGTTATTGCCAGACAATTTACGGCTGATTGCCGACTGCCAATCTTTTTTTGTCAGCTAATTTGCATGAATTTGCTTCCAATTACTATTACTGCGCTGTTCCTGGCAGCTCAATTCCACTGCACAATGAGTGACTGACTGGCGTGGCTTCTCCGTTCCTAAGAACGGGCCAATTAACAGCCAGGGAAGGGTGTAAATATTGATTGCTGCCGGAACGGAATCCCCACCGATAGGCGGGGAGCAGATAGCCATCGATGGCAAGTGCCCTGAGAAAAGAAAATAAAACGATCGAACCCGCAACTGCATCGGCAGTCTCCATCCATTAATATCACCATTCGAAGTGGTGCACTGAAATACGAGGCAATGACGGCAATGGGAATCGAATGTGAGTTCCGTTTCGAATTGAGGAAGGCAAGTGAATGCACCTATTAAAATATTAAAATAAAATCAGCAAAAGGTGTTTGACACCGATAAGAGGCTCCTCCTAGGTCCCGTCCGCAGGCCAGCCAAAGTCATTGCCCAGCTGCGGATCAAGGGGATATATAATACAGCTACAAATTACATTCCAAAACCTAATACTCGTATTTATTTGGCCGCGGATCGCTGAGCTATTGACCGCAATTCGGCTGATTGGAGGCGGCAATGGCACCAGCTTATCACCATACAGAATCGCCGTAGTTGTCTTGGTCTAACACCCTCGTCGCCATCGCTGTCCGAGTGCACAAGACATTTTTGGTCATGTCCAGTCAGGGCGGGGGCCCCGGCTAATCTCCGCTGTAAGATGAAACAACAATAACACAATCAATTCTGGAGCAACAACAAATGCGGAATGTTCTCACCGTGACCGGGCGCTATCATGGCGCTGGACAACGCCAGGCCAGGCCAGGCCAGGCACTGAGACTGGGGCGACTCGACCTGGGAATCTTGGGACGGGAAACGGGAAAGGGAGGATGAAAGCTCGTAGCTGCTGGGTACGAAGATGGAGTGTAAAAATAGCGCAAAGCGTCTAAAAATAACCAAAACAAAAGTAACCAAGAGTGACCCCCATTGGGGGGAGGCAGGAGCGCACTCACCGCCGAAAGGGGCCGCCGACCACATACTGCCAGACTTTTGCCTGCAGCCAGACGGCTGGCATTATGTACGGCCCGTACCAGTGACCCACAACCTGCCGGAGCGGGAATCTGGCGGCTGGTGACTTCTCCTAGGAACCCGGAACCCGCTTCTATGCTCTCCGCTCCTGAGCTAGCCAACCCATACCGTTCCACTCTATTTAACCGGGACCAGACTCATCCAGCTGTGGCTCTATCTCGGACTCTGCCTGAACTGACTATGGGCTATGGGGCGTGGCAGGGGCCACCTAGAGGGCCTCGGAGCAGAATCGATTCCCCTCGGTAGCGACCCTTATCACCCTTATCAATGGCCGGCTCCAGTCGCTTGTGCGGAAGGGGTTGGGTCCAGTGGGAGGAAATGAAGCAGCTCCCTAGCTCTCGATCGGATAACCTGTGACCGATCTGGTCACGATCGCACCTTGTCTGGGCTCTGATCTCGTCTTGGGGTCTCGTCTTGGGGTCTAGCGCGTCCCGAGTGCTGTGTATTTTTAGCATTAAGTCCATTTCGGTGCCGGGCCAAGTCAAGTGTTGTTTGCCCAGAAAATTATGCGATCAGTGCGAAGCTTGGCCAATTTCCATATTCCATGGTCAGTGAACAGTGGTCCATGGCTGTCACAGGGAGAAGCAGGGCTTGGGTTCGCTTTGGACTTGTTTTTCCACCACTGTAGCGGCATAGCATGGGAAAGTTCTGTCTCCTCTCACAATCAGAATGGATCGTTTATATATATATATTGAGATCACGCAGAACTCAGGAGAGCTCTCTTTTGCCCGACCGCCAACTGTGTTTGCCCCACTGTGGCTAAAACTTCTCCCACAGATACAATTTAAACTTATTTTACTTAATAATATTTTAGCTGGTCGCGGCAAAATGTACTCTAAATGGGAAGGAAACTGCCATTTGACAGCCGAAAGAGTTCCGGGATGCCCGTGTTGAGTTACCACATAATACCACATATAGGATACATATTTGTAGGATTCATTCAGTGGAGGATGTTTATGGTGGATAACTTGCTCAGTTATGCAGTGGGTGAGGGTATCATCGAACTGCCCATATACTCGCACATATTTGATTCTGTTTAGTGTTTATTAGTATTTGTGCTTTCGTTTTACGCACACAATGCGTAGCGTAGCAAGTAAATTTGTTAATTAAAATTTAACACTAAGCTTTGAGTGGCGTAAAGCATTCCGAATTCGATCAGCCTGTGCCGTACTCCTCATAGAAAAACGGTACATGCATACATACATACATATATGTATGTACATATGTACGTGTAAGGTGTGTTTGCTTGGGTACAACAATAAGAAATCACAAAAAGGGACAGCAACAAGCAACACTAACAGTAATGGGAATGTAGAAAAGTTATATGTAGAACTGATAAGGTGTTTATAATTCGAATGCGGATTGAGTCCGATCACTGGCACTCCCTCACCCGCTACCTCTGCACCTTGTTCCCCCCCTTTGTCTGACACACTCTCTCGCTCTCTCTATCTGCTGCTCTCTGCGGCGCTCTCGCTTTTTCCAGCAGAAGCTAGTGATAAGAACGAACTGTTAATGCCTGAGAGCGAGTGGGAGAGCGGGTAAGAGAGAGAACATTCGGAACGCTGTCAATGTTTTCTTCGGCGCTGCTGCCGTTGCTGCCGTTGCTCCGTTCCTCCTCCGTTCTTCCGCTCCACTGTTTCCTCCTATTCGCTTTTTTTGCTCTTACACATTTCACATTTAATTTTATTTGGTCGCTCGCTGACAACGACATCGGTTGCGTCTCGTCGCCCTCTATGCACATGAATCGGATCGTATCGGATCGCATCGGATCGAAACATACATAGCCAAAGCTGAGCCAAATCGTACAGCAGTATAGGCAGTAAAGCAGTAGAGCAGTCGAGCAGTAGAGCAGTAAAGCAGTAGAGCAGTAAAGCAGTAACCTTTGTCCAACCAGAAATCCTTATCCTTGGGACAGACTTTCCGTGCAAATATCAAAAGTGCATCGAGTGAAACTGATGTGATTCGATTGATGGCAATCTGATTGCAATTGATTCCCTACACTCACCCCCACCCAGTCCCTGAGAGACGTACACACTGCAACTGCAGCGGACAGAGCGCGAAACGCGAAAATTGTCAACAAAGTCGTAAAACGATTTGCGCAAAACAAAACAAAACGCAAACAAAACAGGCCAGCACAGTAATTATCAAATGATCCAATCAAACTCAACATAAGTCCACCACACTCCCAGCGAAGGAAGCAGAAGCCAATAGTAACGGCACACACACACACACACACATATTCTGAGGCCTGGTAACAGTAATCCCGTTAACAGTACTACAAATTCATAACTGAAAGCGAAAGGTAAGTCATCGCCATCCGGGAGGGAGATAAGCGCTCTATGCTAGAGCGGTCCAGTAACTGATCGCAGCCATAACTCTCGTATCATCTACTCAGATCTACTACTCTACATAGAGGTGGTATCCAACAATCAAATATGCAATCGCCCTGGAAACCAAAACAAAAATAAAAAATGAAACAAAACGAGACGAAACGAAACGAAACGAAACGTTACGAGCGCACTCTTAACTGAAACTATTTTTAAACAAATTCTCAACAGTTTGTTGGTGTTTCTTTTGTTTTTGTTTTTATTTTTGGTTTGCTTTGGCCACGCACTTTTATGAACGAATGCAGGAGAGTCGAAAGTGCATGCGAGTATTCCCCCTCCGCCCACTCAATCGGTCAACAGGTGGCCTGGCCTTCGTTGAAGGGGGAGTGCCATCGATAGCGACTGCAGTGAGTGTGGGTGGGTGAAGGCTGCCAGGGCTGTTGATCTTGAGAGGTGTGGAGATTGCTGGAAAGTGGAGCAAATTAATGTTGGGAAAGACCAATATCAAGGGGATCCAGCCTGATTATGGAAGAGGAAAGCGCAAAATGTAAAGAGGGAATATATATATGGGAACGTAGCTTCAATGAATTGTCTTTAGGCTTGACACAGATTGAACTGAGAGCATTAAAGAGATAAGGAAATTGTGTACTAAGCCAGAAGCATTTATCAGTACAAAAGACTGGGCTCTAATTAAGTAAAATTCACACGGAAAAAACAAAAGGAAAATAACATCAAAAGCCATTGGGAATATTCAGTAGGAAATATTAAGGAGGAGACTTACACGCAGGGCAGGAAAAAAAAGGGAAAGGACAGGAAGAAGAAAGGGAGGAAGAAAGGGTGCTACTTGTACTTCAAACTGGACTGCACTTGCACTTAAAATCTGGAAAAACTGATTTTCTATCAAAATACCATAGAGAAACAAAATCGCGGAAGCTAATAAATATATTATAATAATAAATAATAATAATTAATAATATTAATAATTATTAATTGTACTTACTACTCAAGTATAAGGCTCAAAGGGATCTGATCTGAATCAAGGTATCCAGCCCTGAAGTCCTTCATTGTGGTATCATCCCCAAGGGATTCCCATGCCATGCCATGCCATATCATCTACTGTGAACAAAGAAATCTGGTCAGTGGGTCAGTCGCTCTCCCTGTTTACCTCTCCAAGGTCAGCAGGCAGAACAGCCACTGCCCAGGCGGAGGAGATTGTTGGGAGGGGGGAAGTGAGCCACAAAGTGAATCCAAGGCCAAAGCAATTAAAAATCTGTGACCGCAAAATCAGAAATTCATTTAGTGACAAGCAAAGTGAATTAATTTCGCGATAAACAAAGTGTGAACGGCCAAGGAGGTTGGATGGACGGGGACGCCTCGTTGGGTACTGGAGGGGGGCGGACCCTTCACCTGAGGCTTTCCACATGGGATGTACCGTGGAGGGGGTGCAGAGTGCAGAGTGCATTTGATTCAATTTACTTTTGCTTCATTTGATTCCCGTATTACCATTGCATGTGGCATGCAAATGCAAGTGTGGCCCGTGTCTCTCTTGCTTTCTTTCTCGCTTCTCTTCCCACCACCACCACCACCACCACCATGATTATTGGCACCGAAAATGTATTTATTCTGCTTCTGCTGGGGGTTCAACGACCACCACCAGCCCGGACAACAACAACAGCCCGCCCCACCACCACTTTATCGAATGTGCTCCCCAGTTCCCCAGTTCCCCAGCTTGCCAGTTCGCTGATATTGCGAATTTCATTAACTGCGCACATCTACACCGAGTAAGAGTGTGTGAGTATGAGTATGAGTATGAGGAGTAGGATGGAATAGGTCAAGGCAAAGTCCCCTTCTCCCAGCCGATGAATGAGTGCACCCAAAGGGCATCCATCCATATATGTGTGTGTGTGCATGAATGTTTGTTTTGTATACTCGTAGAAAGGGACACCGAGTGGGCATGTTGGCGAAGTGGCAGCTATCGCCCGCCCATGGGGGAGACCCATGCAGTGCCAGGCCTTTCCAGGCAGTGGGGCAACAGCTCGAGACTCAAGTGTCAGTGGTTGGGCGGATTAACCAGTTCATAGACTCCTCAACTAAAGCAACTAAAGCAGATCGGAAGCCGATAACAGAGAGTAGATTCTGAATGATTGCATGCTGAATGAGTACATTTACATACATGAGTCCTACTAGTCCCGAGTGTTTTATAATCAATGGCTAGTTGTATTGTCCGTTCAGAGTAGCTCTTATCTCCTCCCAGTATTGTAAATACTCGCACTTTGTCTATTAATAGAATAAGCCCACATACTCGTACAATATGTGCAAAACTGTTCGCTAAGAACAATCAAAGATTTCTTCTTTTTGGACTGACTTGTGCCATGGCAGTTCGTTGACACATCGCGAAAAGTTCCCTCGATGCCCACGCAAGAGACTAGTTAGCATAATTCTATGCTAGCCTGCCAACAGATCGACTTGCTAAATGATCCATTTATTTGTTTACTTTATGGCGTCGGAGCCAGCAGCTTGAACCCAAGTCCAAACGCATCCAAACCCAGAATAAATATGATAAACTACCCAGAAACATACATTTGTGTGTGCATATTGTTCGTTTCCCTTTATCTGTTATCTGTTGGCTCTCTCAACCATCGCCACACTGCACCGAACGCCCACTGGAGCCCCACAGCCCCACAGTCCCGAAGTCGCGAAGTCCAGGCGGCTGAGCTCAAAGTCTAATTGATCGATTCGCTGCGAGTTTAGATGATACGGTGCGGGGGATAAGCTCTGGCCATGTGGGTGGTACTTCGATCTACTTGTGGCACTCTCCCGTTCCCGGTTCACTTTGCGTATGCGCAACATTCGGCCGAGTCGCATAGGGATTAGGGCAGCGACTCGATTCAACTTGACTCAATGCCATGGTCAATATTTGGCTAAAGATCGCATAATTTGACTTTATAATTAATTCCAACTGATAATTCCAGCAGCTTGGACAGTAGCAGGGACAGGGGACAGGGGCAGGGGACAGGGGCAGGGGACGGGCAGGGATGCGTAGGTAAAAGTTCAGGCGGCGCTTTGTGGTCTCTCGTTTTAGTTGATTCGATTTGATTTGTTTTGTTTTAATTGCCTCTGATTGCACAAAGCCCAGCCCGCCGACGAATGAATCATCCGGACTGGAGCTGCTGGCAGTGCGTTTCCTGCTTCGGTTGCCATGCCACACCGCCGGAGACGCCTCCATCTCCATTGTTTCTAATCAATTTCGACTGAGTTTTTGCTTTGTTCTGGCCTGCACTGCATGGCCATTATGCATCTCGAGTGCGGCCTGATATGGCCATGGACACAACTGGAAAGAGTATTTGTTTTGTGTACGGACTGCACTGGCTCCTCCCCCTCCCTGCATTATCACGTCAAAATTATCTGGCGGCATTCATTGTTGCAACTTTTGCGCTTTGTTCCCCCACTGGTCGAAGCCCGCAACAACAGCCGCCCCACCCGATTAAGCATTCATGTAAATATGTGTGTAAATATGTATGTATGTAAATACGAGCATTTGTGTAGTCAGCATAGCCAATGAGTCGAAGAGGCTTCAAACTAGCAAAAACAGAGCAATAAAAAATAAGAAATACGCGAAAAATACGAGAAAAATACGAGAATAATTCGCACCTTGGCGTCTGTTTAGAGTTCTCTGCTCAGTGGCTCAGTGTCTGATTGATTTTGTGTGCTGTCTGGTATCTCATACAGTTGCCTCCGAAATACCTTTCCCCTTTACCCGCTCTTGTACCGCCCACTAGTCAATGAAAACGGTTCGGAGCCTGTTCTTTACGTGATGGCCAGTATCAGGGCGCACGGGAATATCATAAGGCCCCAAGTCAAATCACCTTCTCCGCTTCTTAGCATTGCAACTTGTTCGTGACTTCATGCCGCATATACATCCCATACATACATATGTACATCCATACATACCTATGTATAGGAAAGTTGTTCAACGCACAGATTGCTGGGGGTCTAAATCGCACAGCCAGCTCGGCCCGATCATCCAGAGGCGAGTGTTTTCGAGCTGAGGCTGATAAGCAAAAGTCGGTGCTCTATACCCTACCATCCATTGCCTCGGTCGCTTCGCACCCGGGAGGCTGCTCCGGCGACTGCCGCAGAGACTGCGCGAGAGGAGGCGCAGGCAGTGATCTGCGGACAATGGAAATGTAAGCAGAATCTGCCGAAACAGCCAGCCCCAACCACAACAACATTGATAACGGTGATGTTAATGAGGTGGGCAGGGGGGTGGGCGGCGGGCGGCTGAGATGGGGGCTGTCTAGGGGCAGGGATGACAGTTCAGAAGGTTGCCTGACTGCATGATAACTGCTTTGATTTGGTTTTATTTGTTCGTTTCGATTCGATTCGATTCAATTTGATTCGATTTGCATTGCATCCATCCGCCCGCTTCCCCCGCTCTGAGCATTCACAGCCGATTCAGAAGAGATTCAAATGGGATTTAAGGCGCTGTTGATTGGCAATGGAACACGATTGGGAATAGCCAAAAAATCAGGCAGTTAGCTTGGAACCAAGTGCAGGATTTTCGAACTAATTTGGGGCGAAGAATCGGCTTTAGGAACCTGTGGGGGGAGATATTTGTGATGGAAATTACAGCTATTAAACTATATCTATATAGTATCGGTTTGGTAGTCGCTTCCAGCGCGATCCATGCGCTATTCGATACAAGGGAGAAGGGAAAACATTTTACAGTGTTTTCTGGCTCTGTGGGGAATGCAAACTTTGATTTTTCTTTAGCTGTTCGAAAGGTCGAAAACTTTTAAATCTTCCTACGTATAGTTAATTCGATTAAGTATAAGCATGTATTTATATTAAACTTTTCAAGGCTTTCCAAACATTTTTAATTTTGAATGAAATTCACAATTAATTGTTTTTGTTCTTGCCATGATCTATTCTCGGATGTATATGTATGTGGGGAACAATCTGCTTTGTGGGGCACTGACAAAGTTAGTTTCCCGAAGGGTCAATGTATTTTGGCGGAGCTTGCTGATAATCACAGTCATCATCACGTGTTTTGGGGGCTTGGGCTTGGGCTTGGGCAGGGGCTGCCAGGCAACGAATTGCGTTGAAAACTCTCTGATTTCCACGTGCTTTATTCCCGTTTCAGTCGACACACCATGCGGCAGCCAGAGAGCAGCTAGAGGAGAGTACGACGCGGCAGAGTCATCAGGCACAGCAGCGCCAGAGTCAGCGGCAGCAGCAGCAGCAGCAGATCTAGGTGCAGTTCCAGGTCCATCAGCCGTAGCATCAGCCACCGGAGAAGCCGATTTGTGGGTGGCGCTGTACAGCTCACTGATTAGCAGAGGCATCGAACCGGTGCCCGATCCGAATAGGGCTAGGACTAGGAAGAGGAAGCGGCCCCTTCCGTTTGTGTTGTTCTTCGATAATCAAGAAAATGGTGCATGGACCACCAACCCGGAGAAAATCGCAGCAGCCACAGCAGGAACAGCACCAGAAGCAGCAGAATCACAACCAGAGCCAGAACCAGAACCAGAACCACAACCAGACGCAACAGAAGGAGCAGCAGCACCACCACCACCAGAAACCATGTGAAATGGATCTGGAGCGGATGCCCACGCCACCGGATGGTGGCTGGGGCTGGGTGGTGGTTTTTGCGTCCTTCATGATTCACATTGTCAGTAAGTTTGAATTCCATTCCTTTTGCCCGCCCGTTGGTGCAAGGCAACAGCCGGAAGGTTTTTGGGTTTGGGCTTGGGTTTGCTGGGCCACAAATTGCGCTTCGCTGGCGCTTTAAGGGTGCCATAAATCAGCCCCCAGGAACCTTGGAATGTCCGCTGGCAACCGCAGCAGTAGCCCAGTCGGCTGCCAAGTATTTTTGGAGAGATTCGCCGGATCGTGGATCATAAATACACCCGAGCAGCCACTACGCACTCTAATCGCCTCGAAATCAGAATGGCCCGGCCCGGCCCGGCTTGGCTCGGCAGATTAGGCCACAAGGTCCACTCCGGCTGATACGCCTCGAATCGCATTGCCGATGGCTGATTTGGGAGGGATTGAGGGAGTGTGTACACTGTACAGTCGCCACTTGAGGCACACAACTATCAATTGGGTGATAATTGTCGGCCAAGTGCCCGGCGACTGTTTCCCACCCCAGACCACACCAGACCAGACCAGACCAGACCAGCACGGCCGCTGTCCAGATATCAGATAATCTTATCGGCTCGTTTGTGTAATTGCCCGGACACGAGAATAGTTATCGATGCGGGGGCCCCAGCGTCGGGTGCCCTGATAAAGGGGGAGCCGTAATTAATTGTCCAGCTAAACTGATTTATGGGGCTGGGCCTGTCGTTGGGGTTGGGGCTGGGGCTGGGGCTGGGGGGACCAGTTCGAACTGGCGTAATCTTGAGTACCCCGAAAGGCGTATCCCTTTGCCACAGGCTGATTCGGAAATGATCGTCTTGTATCTTATTTTGTTCTGCTCTCTTCTCGTTCCCCAGCCGATGGGATGACATATTCTTTTGGCATTTTCTACGACGAGTTCACCGCCTACTTCAACGAGGGCAATGGCTACACAGCCTGGATAGCCTCGATAATGGTGGGCGTTACGTTTTCCTCAGGTAAGCTCCTCCGTTCCCGATCCTCGATGGGGATCGTTATTTTATAGTGGTTAATAATAATTATTCAACGCGCTTCGATTGTCCCATGCAGGTCCCATCAGTTCATCATTTGTCAATCGCTACGGGTGCCGGCCGGTGACCATAGCGGGTGCCATCCTGGCCGCCAGCTGCATCATTGTGAGCATGTTTGCCCAGAACGTGCTCACGCTCATCATTACCATCGGATTCGGCACGGGGCTGGGCTTCGGGCTCATCTATCTGCCGGCCATTGTGAGCGTTACGCAGTACTTTGACTCGAGGCGCTCCCTGGCCACTGGCATCGCCGTGTGCGGCTCCGGCTTCGGCACCTTCGTCTTCGCCCCGCTCACGGAGTATCTGATCGGCAGCTATGGCTGGCGGGGGGCCATGCTGATCATCGGCGGCATCGTGCTCAACTGCATCATATTCGGGGCGATGTTCCGGCCCCTGGAGCTGGAGGCGCCCCCAAACACTACCAGCACCCCCAAGCTGGGCAAGAAGTCGGCCATCATCGACGAGAACACAACGCCCGCCGAGCTGGAGCCGCTCAAGGTGGCGCCCGCCGACCAGTACTTGCAGCTGCCCCAGCGCACGGATGTCCCCCCAGGCGGCGTGATCAGCATCACTGGCGGAAGCCCCTTGTGTCGATCCAACAGCATGGGACACAATCTGAAGCCCAATTTGGTGGGTAGTCCTTTGTCCTTTGTCCTTTGCCCTTCCTCTATAGCCTTATCGATGCACCCCGCTAAACTCAGCTTGGTCTGTTCTCTGTTCTCTGTTCTCCGCCCACAGAACAATAATTTGAACGGCGCCATCAATGGCCAGACCCCCGTGGCGCCCACGACCCACACTGCTGTGGTGGTGAAGAGCACCAGCAACGACGACATCGCCCGCAAGTGTCACAGCCAGCTGCAGCTGACTCCGCTGCGGGACGCTCATCGGGAGCGCAGCGCCAGTGGCACAATGTACCGCGTGGATGCCCTCTATCAAGTAAGTCAAGCGGCATAGGTACCGGCACAGGCTGGACAGGACTCAACAACTCAACTGCCTTGTTTTTCGCTTCTCCCCCAGGGCTCGCTGCACAATCTGCCGGAGTATGGCAGCTCAAGGAACGACCTGAGCCGCTCCATGTCCGGATCGGGAGTGATCAAGCGCTACGGCTCCTTGCGGCAAAGCAATCAGATGGACCAGAGTCAGGTGGGCAACAATTATTGTTTTATTTAATGTAATTCGCAAAGTTTCCCAAGTGGAGATGGGGATGCGATGCGAAATGGGATATGGGATATGGGATGTCGCTTATTCGGGGAGGGCTACGGGTCCAGCTGACGACTCTCGCCCGAATCCACGCATCTTCTCCAGCAGCAGTGCACTCCACTCAAAGAGCGTGGAGTCGATCCACTTGGGCCAGTAGGCGCACAATGGGCCCAGGTCGCGGGCCTCGAACGACTCCAGCATGAGGGCCAGGTAGACGAACACGAACAGGGTGAACAGACATTTCAGCGCGAAGACCAAAATGCGCCAGACAGCAACGCCGAACCAACGCCACAGGCGCTGCGGAATGGTCTCCCTGCGGCACGAGGGGCAGTACTTCGAGTTGAACTGCGTGCCCTGGGAGCGCTTTGTGGAGCAGGACAGCTGCATGCTGTCGACTTGTTTGGTGTCTCGATTCATGATTTCCAGCTCTCACTCTCTCGTTCGTTGTCGATTGGATTGTATGAATGAACTGAATGTGATGTGCGATACGGGCCACTGACGTAAAATTCAACTTAACTTAGGTATACAAAAAAAAAAGAAAGAAGATGTGCTTGAGGCCTGATCTAGAAGTGCTGCCCCAGACAGCTGGCCCCGATCCAGCGGATCAGTTTGTATAGCAGGAAGAGGCGCAGGCCCTGGTAGATGATCGTCTTGCTGCATGGAGAGTGGTTCAGTGGTTAGTCAGTGGGGAGTAGGGTGCAGGGAGTGTGGAGTGTGGAGTGTGGAGTACCTACACTGTGAGTATTAGCTGGGAGCGACGCAGGGTGCGCGGATCCTCCCTGAGTAGATGGCCCCGGATGCTGTGGAGCATCTGGCCACTTGCGCGGACCACCAGACCATTGATATCCGGATCATTGAAGATGCCCAAATGGAACTCGGTGCTAGACAATGGAGTATCTTGATGTAGCCTCGGCAGGAGCACAGAGAGAGCAGAGAGAGGTAGAAGTGGAAGTGGAAGTGGAAGCCTTACCCTTGGTTCTCCTTCGATATCTCGTCTTTGGCCGTCACCCCAGGACTCACGTAGTTGTTGAACATGAAGGGCTGCATCACCTCCAGGGTCTGGTAGGCCTTCCGCACAACGCCCATCAGCTGGGGCCGTTGGCCAAAGAGACGCAGCAGCAGATCGATGAGGAGAGCTGGCACAATCTGCTTGGTGAAGACGAGGAACTGGTAGACCCAGCGACGGTCCGTGTAGTGGCAGCCGGGCACCATGAGGTTCTTCTCGAAGGCCGCGTCCTTCCACAAGTCCAACGTGTCCATCTGCTCGGCGATTTGGGTGAAGGTGTGCGGCACATGGGTGCAGGAGGAGGACATGTACACGGGCAGCTCCTTGGGCGGCCTGCAACGGAAAGAAAAGCCAAGTTAGGGTAGCTCCAGCACCAGCTCCTGCCTTCCGACGGGACTGCACATACCCTTTCTGGTACTTTTCGTGGCCCTTTTTCGTGTAGGAGAGCATGCTCTTGATGCCTATGTCCTGGGGTGTAATGTCCAGGCGCGTGTCCTTGCCCAGATATACGGTTTTCAGTATGCCTGCCCCGACCAGAGCGAACAGACCCATGGCACCCATGAGCGAGGGGGCGAAACCAGGCGAGGGATCGTCCAACGCAAACAGAACTATCGGCCAGACGTCGATAAGTGAGTGGGAGCTATCGATTTGTCTACTGTGGATCATCGTGGACTATGGACTCACCTATCGACGGGCGGTAGACGATCAGCGGCAAGCGGCGGCGATAATCGTTCACTAGCGACTCGGCCAAGTTCTTGGTGAACGTGTACGTGTTCGGAAAACCCACAATGAGCCTGCGGATCGATAGAAGTTGAATCAGGGCAGGATCGTATGGCAATATTGGTGAAGGATCGATGAGAAGAATTGGTGGACAGAGAGGATCGATTGAGATCACTTTAGATGATGATAGGAATGGGATGGGGATGGGAATGGGGATGGGAATGGGAATGGGGATCGCTGATCTATATTTACTTGCGGGTCAGCGCATTGAGCATTCCATCGTCTGGGACCTCGTCGATCAGGCGCAGGCAGAGCCGCCAGTCCATGGGCGAGGAGTAGTACTTGGGCTCGACGCACTTCAGATACGGATTGCTGTAGAAGGTGGACACGTGGACGAAGACGCGCAGGTGCGCCAGGGTCTCGGCAAACTTGAGCGCCTCGAAGGTGCCTCCCACGTTGAGTTGCAGGGCCACTCGCAGGGGCTCGTCGAAGCGCACGGTGGCCGCACAGTGGTAGACCAGCGAGACGTTCGACATTTGGGCGGTCATGGCCGGATCGATGCCCAGGCCGGGCAGCGAGACATCGCCGGGCACTGCCACCAGCTTGTCCAGCTCGTGGGGCTTCTGCTGGTGCAGCAAGTGGAAGATGGTGGCCTGGCGCAGCTTGACCAGCCGCTGCTCGGCACTCAGCTCTCTGCGGGGACGCAGCAGGACGTAGATGCGGCGCACATTGCAGGAGCGCAGCAGCTTCTCGATCAGCGCCTTGCCCACCACTCCTGAGCCGCCCGTCACAAATATCTCGCTATCCTCGTAGAAGTTCGCCAATGACATCGCCCTGCCGTCGCGTCTGAAGCTCACGGTGCACTGAGCACTTGAGGAGCCCGTGGCTCGGTTTTGGATCGACCGCCCGTGCCGTGCCGTTACGCAGTGCTCCGCTTCCATGCATTACCCTTTGAATATGCATTGGCTTTCGCCATCATTTGACTAACATGAGTCTGAGTCTGAGCCTGAGCCTGAGCATGAGCCACTCACACTCACACTTTCCCCACTATGCTAATGCGCCGTCGGGCACACTTCGACTTGAACGTCCCAGTGGACGGGGCGCGTGTGACCTCCACGGTGTGTCGTCGGAACGTCGTCTGTCGATTACCCGTCGCCATGGGATTATCTGCTTCACATTGGGACCGAATCTCTGACTGTAATCCCCTTGTTGTACCTTATTTTCCCCTGAAATGAGCAGGTAAACTCCTTCATACGGATGCTACATATGTACATATATCTTGTCGGGTTCTCTTCCCACTGCTGTTTCCCATTGATATAACTCGGTCCATGCTTTGCAGGAGGACGCCAAGTGCTGCGGGTGCATCACCTGCTCGAAGGAGACCCGCGACACCTTTTCCGAAATGATGAACTTCTCGCTGCTGAGGGACGTGATCTTTGTAATCTTCTCGGTGTCGAACTTCTGCACCAGCGTCGGCTTCAACGTGCCCTACCTCTACATAGCCGCCTACGCGAAGCAGCTCGGCATTAGCAAGACGCACAGCAGCTACTTGATCGCCACCATTGGCGTCGCCAACACCGTGGGCCGCATCGTCCTCGGCTATGTGTCGGACAAGCCGTGGGTCAACCGCCTTCTCGTCTACAACTTTTGTCTTACGGCCTGCGGTTTAGGTGAGTTCATTGACTCACCATTGAATCCTTTGCATTCCACTGCTAACCCTCCTCTGCCTTCGCCTGCTCCTCCTCTCTTCCAGCCACTGCCATGGTGCCTCTGTGCAAGGACATTAATTCACTGGCCATATACTGCATCGTTTTTGGGTTCACCATTGGCGCCTATGTGGGCCTCACCTCGGTCATCCTGGTGGATTTGTTGGGCCTGGACAAACTGACCAATGCCTTTGGTCTGCTGCTGCTCTTCCAGGGCATTGCTAGCTTTATTGGTCCGCCCATTGGAGGTGAGTCCGCCCATTGCAGCCCACTCACAGTCACACTCACACTCACACTCCATCGTTGTACTCCTTTCCAGGCTGGATGTACGATCTGACGAGCTCCTACTCTCCGGCCTTCCTCATGGCTGGCCTGATGATCGCCATCAGTGGTCTGGTCATGTTCGCCATTCCGCCGCTGCAACGCTTTCAGGCCAATAAGGCCGACCACAAGAATAATTTCCGAGCACCTATCCCTAAGCTAGTTCAGTTCCAGCCACTGAGCTCCGTTTTTGTTAAACTTTTTTTTGTTTTTTTTTTTTCCACAAAACTTTGTTAGACTAAGATGTAGCATCTAGGGCCATGGCACGGCAAGTAGTATGCCATAGCTATAGAAATTGATTATTTATGTCTAGGCGAATCGTATCGCCCCCCTTCTACCCTTCCTTCCACGCTCCCCTAGTCTGAACGCGCTCAGACACTATTTTGTATCGCTAACTGAAAAGATATGCATAATCGTATAAACTATATCCAAAATGTATGTGTAGACATTGTTCTAGAGAAATTATCGTTGTTGTTCTACTCTACTTAGCCTCCATGAATGTACTCGGATGAATGTATGTGTATGTGTATGTATGTAGGATGCTTTATTGTCTTCACGCAGTAGTTTGTCAGTGTCAACGCTATTAAAGGAAGCTCCTGTACCACAGCCACAGAAAGCAACCGAAAAACCCGTGTTTGGAATCAATAAGAGCATGGAAAATGTATGGGTGAAAAGGTTGCCTTTTCAAGTTATTGTTTGGCAGCAGATGAAGATAATCCTGGCAGGTGCAGCAGTGCAACGACCCAAGACGTCCTCCAAAAGCGACCACGGCTTACATATATTCAATAGCAAAGAGTTTTCAGTTCAATTTACATCTTGCCGCTGTAGGTTACAAAAGCCAGCTGAATCTCTGCCCAAAAAATAATAGATCAAGCCCAACGACGAAGCTCCGGCAGCAGATCCAGATAAGCGTTGTACAGTAAGGGTTTGCATACCTTTTATACTCGTTCTTGTTTTTCCAGTCCTGCAACCTAGGAAGTGTCGAACTGCAGCACAGTAGCCTTTTGCCCGTCGTCAACGGCTGTGTATTTTGTTGCTGCATTCTGGCCGAGTCATTCGCGAAGCCTAGTAGCATGTTAAAAGATAATTGAAAGGGAATTCGATCCTGCTGCAATAACTTGGTAATAGACTCTGATAAGAGGCATACGGATGACAGCAAGACGTTGCACTGCGAGTAAATCCAATCACAGTTTTCTTTTGTAGCTTATGGAAAGTCTTAAGGGATAAAAATTAGTGTTTCTGTCGGGTTTTGGCAGTCGCGGCTGACACACATATTCTGTACATACATATGTACATATACTAAGTATGTACTATATGTACTACCAGTGTGAAGCAAGCAACTCGTCACAAAAACAGGACATACCGACCAAAAAACCAGTCAGTACGTGGGTCCTGTAAAATACACGGTACTCGCTTGGCATACGCATACATACATACATACATACATACATATGTATGTAAGCTTAGCATTTATGTAACCAATACAATATTCGTATTTTATATGTATGTACATATAGCTCCGAAATTGGCATCGATAATGCGGCAGGGGATTTTGGTAGGACGGACTGCTTTGACCGCTCAATCTCATCTAATTTTGCTTGGAATTCGACTAATGAGAATACAAATGAATAGGCGAATGAGTTAGAACATGTTTATTGAATCTCGACGATGTCTCAGCTCTGTCCAGTTGGTTAGCGTCCGTACTTCAGGAACTCCCACTCGCGGTTATCAAGCGGACAGACGTGGCGCGTCTTGAGCCAGCGCGAAATGCAGTGGAAGTGAAAGGCATGGTTGCATACGCCCCAGGCCACGGTGCATTCCTCGAAGGAGCTAAGGTTCGGGTTGGCCTGGCACTCTATACAAAGGTCCATGATTGGGTTGCGGCAGATAGCGCAGTTGTCCACCACTATGTCCCAGGACCACTGGGCAACGGCGTTCCACTTCTTGACCACGAAGCGTGCTGGTTTCGCCTGGCAGTTCACACTGCACGAGGGCTGATTGTCGGCGTCCACCTGTGCGCTTTTATCGGCGTCGCTTGCATTGTGAAGATCCGCGACAGCCGCGCCTGGCTCCGCAGCGACTTCGTTGTCCGCGCCCTTGCGGGAATCTTCCTCGGCCACGTAGAGCTCATCGCAGCTTTTTTCGCTTTGATCTTCCATATTTGTGATATTATCACAAACAACAACAATAATTTGGGTTCTTTTTTTTGTTTTTTTCAAAATATTCAAGTTTTAAGCCAAGTACTTTTTCGTTCTACTCGCTGTATGGCGATCTGATCTATCCAACCAAATTCAACGACACTCCAACCTGACCTGAGTTTCGTAGATCACTAGATCGCCTACGATTTCCTCAATCACACAGCCCAGCCATTTGTGTTTACCTTTTTTCCCATATGCCAGAGGATGGAACAGAAAAGGGTTACAATTTTCACTGAGTCACACTGATGTCCAGACACAGCAAAGTCCAGACACTGCTCCTGCAACACTGAGTTCCATATTGAAGCGGTATGAGCCGAATGAACCAGAACTAGAAGCATTTTCAGGAGCAACCGTTAGACCGAAGCACAGTGGCTCGTTTTAAAAAACTAAAACTAGCGATAAGGAACGTGTGAGTCGCTTCTGGGGACGCGACTCTACTTATTTATGTAGAATTTTAAAAAATTGTACATTTTAAATTTGTTCGCTACATCTGTTATCTTAATTTATTTTCATTTTGGAACAGTGAAGTGCATCATGTGGGATTAGTTGAGGGTGAGCGGCAGCGCCTTTTCCTATACCCATTAGATAGGGCCGTGCCGAGCCTTGGCTTAAACTTTAAACTATCCAAAGGCCGAGACCCCACTGACTATATCGTGACTATATCGACTCGGTTACGAGCATTGATTCTGATCGAGAATGTGTATACTTTATGGGTTTAGAAACACTTTCTTCCCTATGAGTACCCAGTAAAAAAATCCACTGCGGACCGTGGGGATGTATGAGGCTGGAAATTATAACAATTAACACATGAAGATGCACCATTCGACATTTATTTGACAACGGATCGCTGACCGGGTGGATGGAGGCGACAATATCATACAGAATCGCCGTAGTTGTCTTAGTCTAACATCCTCGTCGCCAAGTGCAAAAAATTGTTGGTCATGTCCAGTCAGGGCGGGGGCGCTGGAGCAGATTGCACCGGGCTAATCTCCGCTGTAAGATGAAAAAACAATAACACAATCAATTCTGGAGCAACAAAAAATGCGATATGTACTCACCGTGACCGGGCTCTATTATGGCGCTGGACAACGCCAGGCACTGGGACTGGGACCAGAAAACTCGACCTGGGAAACTTGTGACGGGAAATGGGAAAAGGATGCTGAAAGCTCGTTGCTGCTGGGTACGAAGATGAATAATAAATTACAATAATTTCTGGAGAAACATAAAAATCGGAATGTTCTTACTTTAACTGGGCGCTTAACTACGTGTGGGTCTATGACTTGGAAATTTGAGCTGGAACTGAACTGCGTTGATAAGTAACAAAAAAAAAGAAAACATTGTGTGGATTGGGGAGGCAGGAGCTGCCTCACATTATCAGGAATGACTGTGTTATTCACTTCGCCAGCGACAAAAAGGTTGCGGAGCATAGGGCGCTATAAAAGGTGTAGCCAAGAGAGATGATCACCACTATATCTCGCAAGCATTTGAGGCATACAGCATTGAGCTCCTGTATCGGTTGCACTTGAGTGCCCCTCGATACTTGACGGCGTCCCGACCTTATTTGGATGGTTTTTGAAGTTTGCAAAGCTTGAGAAGCTTGAGAGTCCAGAACATTAGTCTGGGTTCCCATGCAGACGGTCTTCTTAGCGATGGAGGTAAAGTCCTCCTGGGTTAGATTGTAGTACGGCGGCGGTGTCTCATCCCTCAGCCAAGGTAGATCTTCGTTTATCAATTGTTGTAGTGGACCGTCGACGATGTCCAGATCGAGAAATTGCGGGTCCAGGACGGGTTCTTCCTTAGGCTGGCTCATGTTAGTTTTTTGTCATTTAAAGTTCGGCAAGGAATGAAATCAAACCTTTGTTGATTGTGTTCTCAGTTTTACTCAGTTTTCACTCTCAGTTTTACCGGACTACGAAACGGAATGACAAGAAACGCCTGGTAACCCACAAGCAAGTGCATAATATTGGATCTCTCAACCTGTAATCCTGAAGAGTGAATGGTGGAGAGCGCCAGGGAGCTGTTCAATTACTGCCCGTTGATGCGACAAAATAAACGTCTTTCATGGCCACCCAAAATGCACAGGCAGCGTATGTTTGGAAACCGTAGAATATAATCCCAACCTACGACGGCTGGTCGGAAGTTCGGAAAGGCCGTCGACTTAAAGGACGTTCGGGGCTCTGTCAAATGCTTGATACCCATGAGACCCATATTACCATCGATCAAAATGGGCAAAGGGAGAATCTCCATGAAAGAACAAATGATAGAAGCAAACGAAAGTTTCGTAGCCGTCGCAAAGATGATAACCTATTCCAGAATTAGACCACTTTAAGAAGGAGAGATCTTCGCTAAAGCAGTATTATGGCAGGTGGGGGACTGCGCTCGCACCCCCAATCACCGCCGGTAGTGGGTCTCCCTGCACATTAACTGTAAAAACGTTATCGGACATTTCCTCCAAAACGGATGCGTTTTATCCCTGCCGCCAGGGTGAACTACTTCTGGCTTCGGCGCTCCGCCATGACTTGTTTGACTTGGGTGGCCCTTCTGGCAACATACGCTACCGCCGGTATAGCTCTTGGGTTCCTTACGCTTACTAAGCCCCCTCATCGCGGCAAGATGGTAGTTCTCCGAGGGGTAGTTCTGCGCTGGGAAAATCCGATATGAAATGCTTGAAAATTTCCGATGCTGCGCGGATCTCTCCATAGTATCTAGCCCTTACAGCGACCCTAACCATGACTTGTTTAACTTGTGCTCCGAAACATATTCTGCGGTTATGGGCCAGCCGGTGGAACTATAAATTATCGTCAATAATACAATTATGGCTAGGAAATTTGTATATGTACGAGTATGCAACTGTTTGCATTATTTGTGCCTTCTTGGCAGACCTGTCGTGTTGGCAGTCGCTAACAGTTTGCGTTGACAGCTGGCACAGAAGTGTCAAGCAGTAGAGTGAGTCCTAGCTGGGGTGGGATAGACATATGTACGTACAACATATCCTGGTGTTTATTGGTTTTCTTATGTGATTACAAAAATACAGTACTAACAACGCACTCACACACTTTTCATCCACATCCACACAATCATACACGGAAACAGAGAAGGAGGCGGCTCCTGGGCAGACAGCCTTCAGTGTATCTCCTCGGTGATGAGCTTCTTGAGGGTGCACTCGCCGGCCCCGAGCTTGTGGATAATGGCCAGGATGTCCTCGCGATAGCGGTCCTTGTGGGCCACCTCCTCGGCCGTGTACTGGTCCGCGTCGAATCGGGTCATGCGCCAGATCACGTTTAGTTTAGCCTCGATGAGAACGTAGTTCGAGGGCGGACAGAATCGCGGACACAGATCGTTGATGAAGTGTATCATGTCGGGGACGCTGCACGAGTTAATCCGATTGTTGATGGTGTTCAGGGCGAAGTCCTGATATCTGGCCATCTTCGAATGGGGAAAGACATTCTCGCAGGTCAGGCATCGCCAGTCGGGCTGCAGGGTCCGGGTCTGCACGGGTATCACCAGGCCCCGACAGCCCTGCTCCCGGCAGAACAGCGCCGACAGATACGTTCCGTTCTCCTGCAGGGGCGAAACAGAGAGACGGGTTCGATATAGTTCGGTTCGATTTAGAAATGGCTGGTTTGTATTGAGGTTTCTGTTAAGTTGGGGCCTCGGGTTCGCTGACCGCCTCTGTCACTTCACGGCGCAGTTCATACCACTGACAGCCGAACTTCTCGGAACATTGCTGAACTCCAATTAGAATTGAAAGCTTATGTCATGCTTATGGGAATTTTATTTTTGGAGCGGAGTCAAGGAGGAGTTTAGTAGAAAATTTAAATCTATATCGTTTTAGTATATAATGTAGGTTTCAAGTTAAAGGTTAAGCAGTGTACATATACTAATCGAAGGGTTTGTAAGGGATCAAGGGGACTCTGAGTTTTGTTCCCGCTCTTGTTTCACGCTCGTCCCCAACTTGACGGTCCCCTTGGCGCCACTCCTGGCAAGTGCATGAAAAATCATAGAGCTAATTTAATTAGGGAACGCATTTGTGTCAGGTGGCCTGGCCTGCCAACGCCAGAGGCCATTATTCAACTTATCCCACAGAAAGAGCAGCATGACCACATCATAATGAGCAGATATAGATACGAGTACATGTATATATATTCACTTGTGTGTGCGTGTATGTATATACCCCTTTAAGCATATACTCGTACAGGGAGATAGAAAGAAAAGCAGCGACGTTGACATCCAACGTTGGCCAAGAATATATTCTGTTGAATTTCATGCAAAATATTTGTTCGAAATTTTAATAATTGCTCTATAAGTTTGGGGCTCTGGCTCTGCCAGTGATTTCGTTTCGAGGGCCATGCCACAGATAAATTCTTGTGTCGACGGGAAGAGAGCGTTAAGCGATAATATTTTGAGTTTTCATTCCATTCGGAAAAGGGTTAACCAACTGGTTAATCAGCGAAGTTCTTAAAGCTGCTTAGAAACCAACAAAATTCGATTATGGGGTAGAAAGCTTGGAGTATTTATAGAGATTAAAGCTTCCGCTGCTTTCAAGCTCACCATAATCCGGACACTCAGCAGAATAAATCTTCTTATAACTCGACAAAGACTGCTTCAGTGTCCTGCATACAAGGCCTCGTGCACCCTATAGTTTAAAGGGGAGCCAAGAGCGGAGCTGCGCTGAATACTCTTATAAAATCTGTTTTTGCCAGCATTAGCTTGCCAAAATGCGCACCCTGTCGACTAAGTTAAAGGATGATCATCTGACAGTTACAAACATATGTAAATATGTACATCTGTTTGTCTCTGTCTATACTACTATATTCTCCGAGTTTAAAACTCTGTGCACATACATATGTGAATAGTCGTTGTGTTAAAACATTGTTAATCATTTGCTCGAATTTGGACGGATCGGACGTCTACAAATATCATAAAGCTTTAAGACAATCAAATGAGAATTAATCATTTGTACATTTCGGCTCCGCTCTTGGCGCGCCCTAAGATAATTTCCCTGCCACCGGTGCCGTTTGGGGATTCACCTACTCACAGTATTGTCGTTGCACCTGGTGCAGTCACACATGAAGTGCTTCGTCATCTTAAGGAAGATGCCGCGCGTGAGGTTGCCCCAGAGGATCTTGGTGTAGGTAGTGGTAATCTCGCCGCCCTTGGGTATGTCTCTGGCAGCCCGCACCACGGCCAGACGCCCGTTGTCGAAGTAGTGGCTGGCGTTGGGGGTGCACTCATGGTTCATAATCGCCGTTAGCGGGAACAGGCCCCGTAGCAGCGTCTCCCGGCCGTCGGTGCGGCAGGGCGCCTCAAAGGCGTTCGTGTTAAGCACGCCGACAATGCGGAAAAGCTGATCCATGAAGGGCTTGTCTGTCGTTGGAAAGTTGCGGAAGCATTGTGCCGCCTTGATGATCTCCTGACGGAAACCCCGCTCCGCGTTCGCCTGCATGGCATCCACCAGGTGGCGCTGCTCCTTGCCCAGGTGGAAGACCCGCACGGCGGTGAGGATGCGCAGCGACAGTGGGTTCACCTGCTCTTCCTCAGCATCCGCATCCTTTGGCTGCCAGCGGCGGAAGTGTTCGCACTCCGCACGGTGCGCCAACGATCCGGAGCAAGCCTCGCACACGGGCAGCGTACAGCGCTGCTTGCACAGAAAGCCCTGCGTCGGTAGCAATCGGTGGCAACAGACGCATGTGCTCAGCTGGCCCTTGCGCGCCGTAGGACCCACCACAAGCGCGCGTTCCCGGAAGATCAGTTCTCCTGCAGCGATGTCCCGGGTGGCAAACACCCCGCGGCCGGCCACTGTCGAGGCTGCCAGCGTCCAGTTGGGCTCCTCCTCGCGCAGCTCGCCCAGGTGCACATCGATGAGCTGGGCCAACTGCTCCGGCGTTGTGTTCCGGCAGGGCGCCATGTGGGCCAGCATTGTGGCCGTTGTGTTAATCCTGCCCCCATGGTCGTTTTCCGACATTGCTCGGCGTTGTCTGACGATGTCCGACGATGCCAGACGCGGCCCAGGATCGGACTAGCGAGAGAGACAGATATACACGGACGGAGCAACAGCAACCAACGCGACGGGCGGCAACGCAACGAGTGATGTCGCTTCTCTGGTCTGGCCTGGTCGAGTCGCTCTATGGGAATAGCGACGGCGACAGCGACCGCGACAGCGACAGCGGTGACAGCAGCATGAGCGACGGCAACGACGACGCCGACGACGCCGACGCCGACAGTGACGCTTATGACATAGACGCCCTCGGAGAGCATTAAACGCAACTAAAAAACACAAATTAGAGAAAGCAACAGCAGAATGGGAAAGGAGGAGAAGAGGAAGAACCAATGGTAGCAACAACATCAACAAGAAGATGGTGAGGAGAGTGTGACAACAACAGCAGTGTGAAGAAGAAGCAGGGTACGTACAGAGGTAATAGAAAGGAGAAGGAGAGGAAGGCAACAGTAGCAACAGAATGAAGAGGAAGCACTGGACAAAAGCAACATAAAGACGTTGAGGCAGGGGACAACAACACAGCAACAACAGTAATCAAAAGCACACGAAAGGGATAACATCAACAGCAAGATAAGGAGAGAGGAGACAACAAATGTAACAGCAACCGCAAAAAGCTTGTGCAGAAGGGGATAGCAGGAGCGGTGACAACAGTCAAATATGATTGTTTCCCAAGGCGGGACACACACGCACACGCACACGCACATGAGTACACAAGAACACAAGCACAATGGCACGACACACCGTTCGATTGCGAGAGAGGGAGAGGCGACGCCAAGCGGATTTTGCTTTTGACTGTTATTCAATTTGTGTTCAATTGGATTCATGTGAGGGCGGAAATAAGGGGAAGGAAATCCGACACGCGCTGGGGGCAGTGGATGCAATGGAGGAAGGTACGCCTATAATAGGGTAAGCCAGTCCACATATGGATACAAATTATGCTACCTGAAGAGCCGGACTGTCCTACCTTATATTTATATGCCTTGCATTGGAGAACATTTTCCGCTCTATCGCCCCTCTCTCTTTTCCGCTCACTTGCCAGCTTTGTGCGTCGAACACCTCCGCCTGAGGTACATCCTGACCACCAACCACCTCAACCGCGTGCGGTCGGTTATGGATGCCATAAAGCGAAGCCATAGGAAAGCTGCCGTCAACCTCGTACCCCTTAAAAAACTTGAGCAGCTAAAGTAAAAATTTCCCCTCCACCCAGACACGAGTATGAGGCATCGCTGACCCACATCTCCCCACTCAGTTCCTCGCCATGGGAGTCTCCAGCTGGTTACGGTGCGTGTGGATGCCACATAAATTAAGACATCGTCGCCGGGCCAGGCCGGGACCAAAAGGTGAGCCGAGTCACGTGACTAGGTTGGATGGTGGGATGGTTGCCGTGACTGTCACGCATTGTCACATGTCAGCGCCGCTGCAGCCGCTTCCAGCTAATCATCCTCCCCTTTTAGCCCCTAGACTGTTAACAGGAATACTCTCTACATAAACTGCCAAGCCTCCAGTACACACGCCCATATGTACATACATACATACAATATAGGCCCGTGTGTTTCCATTAGTTTCGACTCACAACCAAGCAGCTATACGAGTTCACATATGTACGTACATACATAGCTACAATACAATGTACAATACATACACAGGTACATACGCGACCTACCGAACGTAAATTTGAAATCTATTTTCATTTTTTAGGTGCGTTTTATTGCCCCCAATCGAAGGAAACGAAATGCAAAATATTCCAAAACAAATGAAGAAATCGAAAAATAATTAGGAAATTTTGTGTCTAAGAAGCACTGACGGGGAAATACACTTTAGTGAAGAGCCAAGAAGGATGAAGTTTGAAAAAGAGCTCCACCAAAGAAAATATTTGATCAATTTTAACAATTCCGTTATTTGAATAGCTAGGTAATCTATGGGGTTAAGAAAGACGTTTAAAAACTACACCCCGTGAAAAGTTCATGAAGAGATGATTTTCAGAAATTACATAATTCAAGAAAGGCTAAACTAAATTAAAACTAAATAGTAGTATATGTTAAAAGGCAGTAGAACTAAAAGAAAGAAGATAATTTGAAGGGATAAAAACATTTGGATGGATTGAGCAGAAAAAGGAAATTATTAAACGAGAACAGATTCCATTGAAGGACAACCGCAAAGGCGTTAGGGTATGGCAACCAAAATATGTGCTCGAATAGTTTTGAATATTTCTTCATTGTGTTTTTCGTTTTCATTCTGAAGAATTTCAGCGCAAATTTTATATTTTTAAAAGCACACAACAAAAAAAAGTAGGAACTAATTTAATTTTTCTCTTGGCGAGAATATGGTGAAGAACGGGGAAGGGGCAAGGGCATGGGGCTGGTTTTGATATGTATGTTATGCGATTTATAACTCGGGAGAGTGAATGAAAGAATGAGTGAGGGATGGTGAATGAATGTGTGTGTGAGTACTTGAACTAGTTGGGTTGCCCCTCCCCCACCATGGGACGTTGGCAGATTGCCCAGTGCAAAGCAGATTCGGATTTGGTTATGATGGATTCAGTCCACTGTTAAGGCGTTAGTTATGTAAATCATTCGGCTGGGAAACAAATGCACATCCAACAAGTTGCCGTTGGATGTGGAACGAGCGCCAATAATAGTGTGTGGAGTTCGTACTATGCACCTAAATATATACAATGTATACCCATTGGGTATTCAATTTAATTCATGCATTCAGCCAGCACTCGACCAAGAGTGAGTGCTTCCTGCTGGGGCACTTCTGTGAGCCTTTTTTTGCATCTGGCGGTTACTCACTGAGAGATTGTACTTCTTCTGGCGATCCACTGCGGAGGGAATCCGATAAGGCTCACTTGAATCCCTTGATTGGATTGATAGACTTGGTAAAGCACTGCTCCCACATTTATTGGGATTATACACTGATTAATTCGCAGCGGATGCGCTTTTAATTACACACTGATGTACATGTATGTATGTGTGTATATACCTCACACATATGCAGAGGCGTCTCGAGCAAAGGGGACCCCTTCCGTTGCTTGAGGAAACGTTCAAAGTTCTTTGACACTTGCCAAGCGAAAAGTTTCCACTTCATTTGGCTTTTGGGCTAGAGCATCCCCCTCGGTGACGCCCCTGCCAGATACATATTTACGGCCACTTCGATAAAGCTATTTTGGTTTCTCGCAGTGATTGCGACACGACTGAATGAACTCGCTCCCAAATTGGATGCAGTTGCAGCTGCTGATCGAGATAAACATCCAAACATCCAAACATCCACATCCACATTCGAGGGAGAACTCACCGTTGGATCCTGGCAGCGGGGACACTGACACATGAAGCCCTTGGTCATGCCGAGGAATATCTTTCGGACCAAGTTGGACCAGAGCATCTTGGCATACGACACTGTGATCTCGACCCCGCAGGGTATTCGCTCCGTGGCGCAGACGATGATGGTCTCGCCATCCTCAAAGTGGTGGCTGGCATTGGGAGTGCACTGGTGGTTTAAGAGCCCCGCCAAGGGAAATAGGGCGCGGATCAGTACCTCGTGACCCTCGACGCAGCTGCGGCTTTCAAACGCATTCGTGTTGAAGGCGCAGATGGTGCGGTAGAAGAAGTCGAGCATTTCCTTCTCCCGAGGAAAGTCCTCAAAGCAGGCGGCCGCCCGCTCCACCTCTTTCATGTAGTAGCGGTCCGCGTTGGCCTGCATCGCGTAGAGGAGCCGTCGCTGCTGCTCGTCCAGGAAGAAGCAGCGTACCACACTGAGAATGCGCAGCGAGCGCGGATCGATCCGTTGCGTCTCCTTGGGCTTCCACTTGAGAAAGAGATCGCACTCGATCTTGTGACGCGCCGATTTGCCGCACTCCCCGCACACGGGCAGGCCGCAGCCGGCGGAACAGACGGCTCCCGCGTCCGTCTCTCCCGGCACCAGGCGGTAGCACAGCGTACAAGTGCGCAAGTTGGAGGAGCGGTGCGCCGTCGGCCCGACCAGGATGGTGTGCTCTCGGAACAGCTCCTCGCCCTTGGCAATGTCGCGGGTGGCGAATATGCCGCGCCCAGAGATAGGGGAGTCGGACACCCGCCAGGCGGGCTCCTTGGGCCGCAGCTCCCCGAGATGCAGGTCGATCAACTCGGCCAGCTCCTTTGTGGAGGCGCTGATGGCCATCTGCTGTGGCTGACTGGATAACTGTTGCACTGCTGGCTGCTCCGGATGCTCGGGATGCTCGGACATGTCGGTTGGGTAATTGAAACTCTCTCTCGCCGATAATCGAAACGCAACTGATTGCGCTGCCAGCAGACTCTGCTCCCATATGGCAGTTTTTCGCAGTCTGTGCGCTGTTTTTTGCTCTCTCTCTTCCGGCGGGCTCTATTTATAGTCCGCGTGGCCCTCAGATTTCCCATGCGCAGACTGGACACTCGGATTGGGCTGCTGGGTGGAGGTAGGAGTAAATGGGCAAGTAGCATCAGTACACATCCCATCAGCAACGTTTTGGATTTGCCATCATAATATCGAATGCAGGGAATACCAGTTCTAAGAAGGACGCACATACATACATATGTACATAAGTACATAAGGATTGTAAAAGTGTAATTTTCAATGGTCTCACGGTTTTTAAATGTTCGTTTTGGCTTTAGGTAAATAACTGTAAAATTAAAGCCTGATGCGACAACTTGAGCTCAAAGATGAACGAGAAGAAACGTTTTGAGTCGCTTCTGTGGCCGCGACTTTACTTTTATTCCCGTACTCAGTCATTATATAAATATGTGAGCTTATGATATACAACATACTTATATGGAATTTTAAATAATTTTATATTTTACATTTTGCGAGCTATAAAGAGAAAAATTAGCGGCTGCAGCGCTGGATTATTCTGGCTATAATAACACTAGTCGATACGACATTTCCGCTGTGACCCCAAATGATTTTAATACCCGTACTCAAAAAAGAGTTAAGGGGTATATTAGATTTGTGTTAAAGTGGATGTGTGTAACGCAGAGAAGGAAACGTTTCCGACCCCACAAAGTATATATATTCTTGATCAGCATCAATAGCCGAGTCGATATAGCCATGTCTGTCTGTCCGTCTGTCCGTCTTGTTGAGCGCCTAGATCTCAGAG